CAATTTTTAATTAAAATACCACAATCTGAAGTTTAGATTTGATAAAAATGTAGTTTAAGGGCCGTGAGGAAGTTTAAAATCTCTGACAATTGTCTCCATTTTTTCAGTTTCAGGCTCTGATAAATGGTGTAATTTGGATGATTTAGACGTTTTTTTTTTTGTCCCAGATTTTGCCTTAAACATTTATTCAAGCCGGCCTTTTAACACGTTACATTGAACCTGCCATGTGGACCTTTTGTCTCCCTCTTCTGGCAGAGAGAGTAATTACACGACCACTGTTGACGCTGTGTTTGTGATGTATGACATAATGATAAAGGCAGCTGTGATAAGATAAATGTAATATCTCTTTTCATAGGAGATATTAAACCTGTTCAACAGATCAACAAGCTTTAGTTGCAGCTTTTACATTTCAAATAATGACTGAAGAGTTCCAGATTAAATGTGCATTAAATACGTTTAAACAGACGTCTTGTTTCTGTCAGACGCCTCCTCGTTCGCCTGCAGCAGAAGACTGAGCCGCTTTCAACACATCTTGTATATTTCATGAGGATGTTATTGCTGCTGTGATGCACACACAGATCTGTTACTAAATGTGGACTGGGTACAAATCATTCATGTTCATCACGTCTTTTTTTATTTTTAACATCCTGCAGAGAACCTTGCATTGACTGATTCTCTTGTGTTGCTTCTGTTCCCCAAACAAAAGATTTTCTCTGTGAATGAAGTGACTCACACCTTTTTTTTTATTATATAAGATGTCTTCAGATTGCTTGTTTTTGCTTGAAACAATATCAAAAATCTAAATTCTCTAAAATTAAAATGCAAATTAAAGCAGATTTTTTTTTTTGCTACTGTTTGTAATTTTATTTTTTATTTTTGTCAGCTTATTGGTTTATTTATAATAATAAATAAGAAAACAGTGGGGAAAAAAATGGGTTTGAAGTGGTTGTTTCTGCTCGACCAAATATCTGAGATCCAAATGTAATTTATTTAACTTTCTATGATTAAAAGACAAAGAATTCACATGTATTAGAGAATGGAATCGTCCAATTGTAGAAATGTCTGCTTAGATTTTTTTTTTTTTCTGTAAATCAACTCACTCGCTTATTTATTATAAAACATTTGAAAATATTTTTTTAAATGTCTTCAAATTTCTTGTTTTCCAAATTTAGCTTAATTAAAAGAAAAAGGAAAGCAGCAGCAGCAGAAGTTGGAATAATTCTTTTTTTTTGTCCTCTTGAAAAATATCTTAAGTTCTTTTCCATTAATCAAACTTAACTTAAACTTCTGAAAATACTGAACAGCATCTTTAAACTGTTTGTTTTGCCTGATCAAATATCCAGGATTCATCGTTAATTAAATTCATTTACTTTTCTGTGATTAAAAGACAAAGAAAAGCAGCAAATCTCGTTATTTAGAGAGTAAAATGTTGGTTATTTTAGCTTAAAAAATGGCTGAAATTACAAGGTGGCATCTTAAAACCTTGTCTTCATCATCTTAAAAAATTGTTTTGTCAGATTAACTTTTAAAAACCAAAAAGTTTCTGATTTCCAGTAATGGGGGAACCCAAACAATTGAAGGTAACATCACATTAGAGAGTCTGGGTCCAGACAATATTTGGTGTTTCTGCTCGATAAATGCACATTTAATTAGATATTAACCGGTTTCCTGTAGTTTTGGAGAGTTAAACCCTTGCTGTTGTGTCTGCAGGTTTCCACATCATTCCCAGAGTTTCCCACGTTGTCCCGGAGAGCTGCCTGCTGATCGTGGTCGGCCTGCTGGTGGGCGGAACCATCAAAGCCATGGAGGGAGCCGAGGCCCCGGTGCTCGACTCCAAGCTCTTCTTCCTCTACCTGCTGCCTCCCATCATCTTGGACGCCGGCTACTTCCTGCCCATCCGCCCCTTCACCGAGAACATGGGCACCATCCTGGTGTTCGCCGTCCTGGGAACGCTGTGGAACGTGTTCTTCATGGGCGGGACCATGTTCGCCGTCTGCCAGATCGAGGGCGCCGGGCTGGGCGACGTGGACCTGCTGTCCTGCCTGCTGTTCGGCTCCATCATATCGGCCGTGGACCCCGTCGCCGTCCTCGCCGTGTTCGAGGAGATCCACATCAACGAGCTGCTGCACATCCTGGTGTTCGGAGAGTCGCTGCTCAACGACGCCGTCACTGTGGTGAGATACAGACTCCGGAAGTGCTTTATACTTCCTAATGCTGTAGACCAGGGGTGTCAAACTCTGGTCCTCGAGAGCCGCAATCCTGCATGTTTTAGATGTTTCCTTCTTCCAACACACCTGATTCACATGATCAGCTCATCATCAAGCTCTGCAGAATCCTGATAATGATCCTGATCATTTGAATCAGGTGTGTTGGAAGAAGGAAACATCTAAAACATGCAGGATTGCAGCCCTTGAGGACCAGGATCGGACACCCCTGCTGTAGACGTGAGGAAGTAGAGATGCAGTCATTTCTGTAGCCGAAAGTCGGCCACGATATCGATCAACAGTATGTAGAAACAACCAGAATAAAATGAGAGCGGTCCGTAACCGAGCCTGCCATGTGTTTGTCTGCTCAGGTTCTCTATCACCTGTTTGAGGAGTTTTCCCACGAAGGGTCCGTTTCCATCGGCGACGCCCTCCTCGGCGTCGTCTGCTTCTTCGTGGTGTCTCTGGGAGGCATCATGGTCGGCTTCATCTACGGCATCCTGGGAGCGTTCACCTCCCGCTTCACGTCGCACACTCGGGTCATCGAGCCGCTCTTCGTCTTCCTCTACAGCTACATGGCCTACCTGTCGGCCGAGGTCTTCCACCTGTCGGGCATCATGTCGTGAGTAGATCGGCGCTCAGACGTCGTCCTTGAAGATAAAAACCGACCCGAGTTAGCAGGTTTATGATCCAGAAGACAGTGGATTTAGAACATTTTCAGAGCAGTGATGTAGGTTTCGGTCTAAGTAGATAAACTGTCAATTTTTTCCACTTTTTAAACTCTCAAAAGCCATTTAAGTGTTCAGTATTTCCAGAAATATAACTCCTACAGACATAAGATTAGCTGAGGACTCAGACAGAAGAGTTTCCAGCAGATCCGACTTAAATGAATGATGCCAACAGAAGCCAAATCTTCAGTTATTAGCCCCTGGAAATGGAAGAAAGTGCAAAATTTTTAAATAAGGGTATTGTTGGGGCCCCAGAAAGTTCCTCTATGTGTATATATATATATTTATTTATTTATATTTCTACTAAAATATAGTCTTTGCTGCAATTTCTTGGGTGTGGAAGTTATATTTCTTGACATATTGAACCCTTAAATTGACTTTCCAAGTAAGATGTTGTAAGTGCACACATTGTTCTGCAAGTTCAGCCAAAATATTTTACAGGATTTAGTTCTGGAGTAAAAAAGGAAACTCTGGAAACAAACATAAATCTGAGACGTAGCCCAACATCGCTCGTTTAAATGGCACAAATTGACCCACATTTTTGCATTTGTATGATCTAGACACCAGTTTTGACAACTGAGAAACTTAAACAACAAAAAATCAACCTTTACTAAGATTATGATTAATGCCGTCAAACAAAAGATTTAAGTCACAAACAAACTGATTGACACCTTAGTGATATTACAAATATTGTCTCATGCAGCTGTAGACCTCACAGAAGCATCGCTCTGGGTTCTTCAGTTCATTTTTCCTTCTTCCTTTCTTTCTTTCCTGAACAGTTTGATTGCGTGCGGTGTAATCATGCGGCCGTACGTGGAGGCCAACATCTCCCACAAGTCCTACACCACTGTCAAATACTTCCTGAAGATGTGGAGCAGCGTCAGCGAGACGCTCATCTTCATCTTCCTCGGCGTCTCCACGGTGGCCGGACCTCACGACTGGAACTGGACCTTCGTCATCTTCACCGTCTTCCTCTGTCTGGTGTCCAGAGTTCTGGGTCGGTGGAGCCAAACACAGTCAGACACGTTTTATCTGGACTTTTTAGACTAATAACACTGCTGGGATTTTATTTTTTAAATAAACGTCACTGACATTCTAAGGTTAATACACCAAAGAGAAGAAATATTGATATTAGAAGAGATGTTTTCGCATTTCTGCTGATGATTAATGACATTTTCTTCAGCTCTCTTTTCCTTTTGTACCAAAAAGTACCTTTAGTAAATAAATGTGAAATAAATATATTAAAATAAGTGATTTAAAGGCAGCTTACACACAAAAAAAATCACAATAAGTCCTCTAGCCTCAGTGGCTACTCAGCTCAGCTAGTCCAGGGAACGCTTAGCTAGTTAGCCTTTAACTGGAGTAGTTTGGTTTCTTTCTTTCTATAATATAGTTTAACATTTAGCTTTTAGAGGTATTTATATATGGGATAACAAACTCAGATACTGAGATACAGTAGATGCATCAAAACAGATTTTTTTACTTCTGGAAAACCTTTAAAAAATTAGGTAAATTCAGTTTAACTCGATCTCCTTTGTTAGCTATCACCATAGCTGCATTGCAATCAATGCAATTAATTTTTTCACTCATCATAAGTAGATAACAGTTTATTTATTATAAATCTTTATAATTGGTGTTTATTATTTTGAATAATTCTAATTGAAACATTTGAATAACTAAATTTAGCTAATGATAGACGTGTTGTAATACAAAACCAGTGTCATAACTCTAATTACTAGTTTGTATATTGATATATATATTTTTTTATAGTAAAGTAAGACATCTGAAAGATTTTTGTCTTCACTTAGTTTTGACCTTTTGTACCAAGAAGCAGGTTTAATAACAGAAATACATTAAAATATGCGATTTAAACACAGCTTTGGCACAAAAAATCCTACTAAGCTAGGCTATTTAATGTTTGCTAGTTAGCATTTAGCTAGTTAGCATTTAGATAGTTAGCCTGTAGCAGGACTAGTTTTGTTACAGTATTTCTAAGACATAATTTTAAATTTAGCTTGTATTTTATTTACTTGTGTAGAAAAATGAATTACAAAGATGTTGGAGCATAAAAAACAGCTTTTTAGCTTCTATAAAACAGGCAAAAGTGGCTAAAACTAGATTTAGCTGAATCTCTTTTGTTAGCCGTCAAGAGCTGGAGAGCAGTCGCTGTAGTTTAGTTTTTACCTCTGTGTCGGACTTACTGTTAATCATAAATTACACACTGCTCTGCTGTAATATTTCTATGGTGAGGTGAGACATTTAAAATAAGTTTTGACCACTTGTGCAGCTGCTGTGTTTTTGCCATTTTGCAGGGCAGGATTAATGATAGTATCGCTGTTATTCTCCATCCTGTGTTTTATAAATGTTTTCTGTTTCTGTGTTTTTAGGAGTTATTGGTCTCACGTCCATCATCAATAAATTCCGTATTGTGAAACTGACCAAGAAGGACCAGTTCATCGTGGCCTACGGCGGCCTGCGAGGCGCCATCGCCTTCTCGCTGGGCTTCGTGCTGACCGACAGCAAGATGAAGCACATGTTCCTCACCGCCATCATCACCGTCATCTTCTTCACTGTGTTCGTGCAGGTGAACACGCTCACGCTGTTGTTTTTCATTTGCAAAGATTAAAAGCGTTTGCATGCAAATACTTATGATGACATTTTTAGGAAATACGTGATGAAAAAATGGCAAAAAAAAAAAAAAAAACAGCAAATTATTCATGTTTAAAAATAATAATAGCAGCAGTGTCTTTTTCTTTTCTTTTCATATTTTTTAAAATCTTCGACATATAGACTGTACTCTCTGTGTGAAGCATCAGTTTTTGTATTAGAGTTATGCTAAACTACATCATACCTATCACAAAACATACATTTAATTTGCATTGGATGAATCAAAAACATAAAATATACAGATATAGCAATAAGGAAACACCAAAAACCGACATTATGCACATTATAAAGCACAAGATATTAAAATAATTCATAGGGCAATATGGGATTTTCTATTAAAATAAACTACAAACTGTATTTTTTAATTCCATGTATTTTTTCTTAATAAGTCATATGTGTGGTCTCTACTGGCCTCTAGTGGTGATGAGGAGCAGTTGCAACAACTTTTACACAACTGCATCAAGTTATTTGGGAATCGGACCACAGTTGATCATATAAAATGATGTTGTTTTGTGTTTGTGTGTCTTTAAAAGAATCTTTAAAATATATATTTCAATTTGTGCCTTCAGGGAATGACGATCAGGCCTCTGGTGGAGCTTCTGGCTGTGAAGAAGAAGAAGGAGAGCAAAGGATCAATCAATGAGGAGATCCACACACAGGTGAGATTTTAGATCACTTTGTCCATGGTTTTTATTTTTATTTAAACAGAAAAACATTGACAGACACAAGTCCTTGCTAAGTGTGAGACATGAAGAATCGAGCTATTGATTTAAAGCTCTTAAAAGCCGCTTGTGTTCATTATTAAATTATGTGAGCTGACACAAACTCATTCCTCCTTCAGTTCCTGGATCATCTCCTGACGGGAATCGAGGACATCTGTGGTCATTACGGACATCATCACTGGAAGGACAAGTAGGTTTTGCTGAACACGTCTCCTCAAAAGTGGCATCGGACAGAATGCTTTAAAAACAGGCTGGTTGGTGGTGAAGTTCAACAGTTAAAATGTTTAAGTTAATCGGCCCTCTGTTAGGAAAGAGCAAATGTTTTGCTTTGAGAAACTAGAATCGTCTCTAAAGTTTATTGTTGCGCAAGTTGTCGAGGGAGGACAATAGTGAAGATGTAAAATATAAAATGTGTGATGCTTTTCCTCTCAAAGGATTTCAATCTTTGCGTGCTGTTGAGGTTAATAACACGCAACGGTTTGGTGCTTCATAGTCACAATAAGCTGTTTAGCAAATCAAAATCTTTCTCATGATTAAGAGATTAAGAGAAATCAGGACGTAGGCGCAGCAACTGATCAGAAAATAGACGAGTGAGGGGAGATTTTAGTTTCATTTTTGGAAATTTTAAAGCTTTTGTGCCATTTAATGTGCAAAATTCAGATTTTTACTTTAAAAAAATACAATAACTTAAAGCTGAAATGATAAGATAATAAACTGATTAATCAACGGTACTTTGATAGTCGTGCAAATTCTGTTTCATAAGTTTATCATTTCACATAATTTTGTAATCCTTTAATGTTTTTTGGGTTTTTTTTTTCCCAAATGTAATTTATAATTGCAATGTTAAGCATTACTTTTTTTCCTTTAATTTATTTAAACTTATTAGTAATAATTTTAGACTGTTGGTTTGACAGAAACAAGCATAACTTTGAGGACATTTCTCATTAATTACTACATTTTTTTAACAATCAGTTCATTCATCAGGACATTAATCAGAATCAGTACAAGTAAAATATTCATTAAGTCCTGTCCTGTACAAAATGTTTTTAAAACGATCTCCACTGAAACCAGCTGCACCAGTAAAGCGCTGCGCACACGTGAATGCATCGCCGATATTAATCTAATAATAGAATGTAGAACAGAATAACAGCCACACGAGTCTGTTTCTAGATTAAATGCTTTCAGTTTTTCCCCAGTTTTCTCTTCATTGACATCTTCACTGCAGGACTTTTACCTACATTGTAATATATTTATTTAACGTTATTGTATTGCTTTGGGCAGTAAAGACAGAAAAACATCTGCACAAGTTTCCTTTTATGTGAAGCAGAAACACCTTCTAAAGACTTTTTAAACACCTAATGAAGGATGTTTCCTCTGCGTTCAGGCTGAATCGCTTCAACAAGAAGTACGTGAAGAAGTGTCTGATCGCCGGCGAGCGCTCCACCGAGCCGCAGCTCATCTCCTTCTACAACAAGATGGAGCTGAAACAGGCCATGATGCTGGTGGAGAGCGGGAACGCCGCCAAGCTGCCCACCGTCGCGTCCTCCGTCTCCATGCAGTAAGTCGAGTCTGCTCCGTCTTAATGGCGCGCTATCAAATTGTAATGGCTTTCTGCAAACCGCAGGATGCAGCAGAGGAGCTTCTGCTCTGCTGAAAGCCTAATAAACGGAACTAAACTGCACCGTAGTGGCAGAATAAACGTTATAAAAGTGTTTGGGTGGAGTCCACGACTTGGAAAATGGTTTGTATGGAGGAAAATATGTAAAAATCCCAACTGAGAAAGTAGAGTTGGAGTCCAAAACACTAGAATGTGCACATTTTTCTTTGCTGCTTCTGTGTTTTGTTTGATAAAAAAAAGCAGAAAATGTTATAGATAAGTGTTAGGAACAGTCACGCTGCACAAAAACCTGTCACTGTTCTCACATTTTACTGCATTTCTTCGTTTTCTCTGTGGATTCTTTAATGATCTGACATCTTGTTGCCTGAAACTAGTGCACATTTTCAAATAAAGAAGCATTTTGTGCTTCAAGGCAATTAAAATCTATAAGAAATGCCTTTTAAAAAGTAAAATAAGTTGTTTGTTGTTAAAAAAATTTGCACTTTTTTTTTTTGCTCCTGCTATGTTGAAGTAAAAACGATCATCAACAAGAGGTTGGAACCAATAAACATGAATTCTGGCCGAAGTGCTCGTATTGTTTTTAGATTTTACTGCATATTTCCATTTCGTCTGTGAATTATTTTTTACAATTTTACCTCGAAAACATGTTAAATTTTCAAATAAAGCAGCAGCACAAACCCAGAAATATAAATTAAGCTCATTTTGTGCTCCAGGACGATTAAAATCCTGTAAAAACTATAATAAGCTTAATGTCCTGTTTCTGTACAGTTAGAATTGGGACATTTCTATTTGCTCCTGCTCCATTTTTTAATTAAGATTGTTGATAAGAGGAAACAATCAATTAAAATATTCTGCACAAAATCCTATTCATGTTTCCTATAATTTTTTTTATCATTTTGTCTTTAAATTATTTGATGATTTTACTTCTTGTTGCATTAAATTAGTGTAAATTTTCAAATAAAGTTAATAATTTTGTGCTTTAGGGCAGTTACAATCTAAAAGAAATGTCCTTTAAAAAGTAAAATAAGTGATTGTTTTTGATCAAATGCAGCGTCCTGTTCCTGTATTTTGAGAATTTGCACATTTTTCCTTACTCCTACTACGTTTTTTAAATAATAAAAGATTATAGATGAGCAGTAGGAACAACTTTAAAGTTTAATTCTGCACAAGTTCATATTATTGTTTAAGATTTTACTCTATATTTCCATTTTTGTCTGTGAATTATTTAATGATTTTACTTCTTGTTGCCTGAAATTAGTGTAAATTTTCAAATAAAGCTGCAGACAATGTGCTGATTTTGTGCTTTAGGGCAGTTAAAATCTAAAAGAAATGCCCGTTAAAAAGCAGAATAAGTGATTGTTTTTGATCAAATGTAGTGTCCTGTTTCTGAATTTTGAAAATGTGCATGTTTTTCTTTGCTCCTACTACGTTTTTTTTTTAAATGATAAAAGATTATAGATGAGTGAAAGGAACCGATTTAAACTTTAATTCTGCATAAATTCCTATTCTTCTCATTTTCACTGTGAATTATTTCATAATTTTTCCTCTTATTGCTTCAAAAAAGTGGAGAATTTTCAAATGAAGCAGCACAAACCCTGAGAACGGCTCATTTTGTGCTTTAAAATCTACATGAAAGGTCCTTTAAAAAGCAGAGTGACTTATTGTTTTTGACCAAATTGAGTGTCCGGCATCTGTTTATTCGGTTATTTTTCTCTTCAGAAACATCCAGCCGAGAGAGCCGCCCCGCCGACGAGTCATACCGAGCGTCTCCAAGAGCCGTGAGGAGGAGATCAGGAAGATCCTGAAAGCGAACCTGCAGAACACGAGGCAGAGGGTGAGGAGGACGGTTTACTGGCGGACGCCGTGAGTTCAGCTCGCGTGCAGGTCGTGACGAGGTTTGCGTTTCTCTCCTCAGCTTCGCTCGTACAGCCGACACGACCTGATGATCGACCCGTTCGAGGACAACGTGAGCGAGGTTCGCCTCAGGAAGCAGCGGGTGGCGATGGAGAGGAGGGTGAGTTTCTACACACTCTCGATTCTGTGGATGTGTTGCTAAAACCGACCGCTTATTTGGAAATGTACTTCTAGTTCCTCTTTGTGGTTCCTTGGAAGGACTAAACAGTTCACGTTGACTGTTGGGGACACCAGTGAGGAAACGGTGGTAAACTGTAGCTAGAAGCAGTTTGTTCAACATCTCAGTCAGAATAAATGATGTGAAACTTGACGGCGGGCTGCAGGGTGGTGCAGTTGGTAGCACTGTGGCCTCGCAGCAAGAAGGTCGCCGGTTTGCGTCCCGGTGGGGGCAGCCGGGATCTTTCTGCGTGGAGTCTCCATGTTCTCCCCGTGCAGCGTGGGTTCTCTCCGGGTTCTCCGGCTTCCTCCCACACAGTCCAAAAAACATGTTGAGGTTAATTGGTGATTGTAAATTGTCCGTAGGTGTGAATGTGAGTGTGCTTGGTTGTCTGTCTCTAAGTGTAGCCCTGTGATAGACTGGTTACCTGTCCAGGTGAACCTGCCTTCACCCTGAGTCAGCTGGGATAGGCTCCAGCCCCCCATGACCCTGGTGAGGATTAAGTGGTGTATAGATAATGGATGGATGGAAACTTGACGGCAATTCAAGCTGATTAAAATGTTATTTTTGCAGAACTTTGCAAAAAATTTTAGGCTCTAATAGTAAGATTTCTTTCAAAAACAGTTTTTATTTGTAGGTTATTCCATCTAAAATCATCGTTTTCCTTCTTCTCAACCATCTCTGATTTGACCGAAACTGTTTTTTTTTAAAATCATAAACGATGGATATTTAAAATGGTATCTGTGAAGTTTTGCATTGATGTGTCAAGTACTTAATGTGATAAAGTGTAGTATATGAAGTATATCAGGTAACAGTTTGCTCTGTGCCCAAAGGTTAAAAATGCACCTACATTAAAAAACATATTCTTAGTTATATTTGGAGAACCAGTTTCATATTTCCACTCACACATAATCACAGATTATTTGATTCACTAGTTAACTTTTGCAGATTCTGAATCAATGACATGATGAGAAATCAGTGACAATCTCAGCTTTTTATCTTTAATAGTTGCTGAGATATTGTCATTAAAACAGCTTCAAACTTCAATGTTTTTTTGAAAATTGTGTCTATTTGATAAATTAAGCTAAAACTTCACAGACGTCATTTTAAATATCTGCAGTTTATGGTAAAGTGTAGAAAAACGGTATACTGACTAAATACTAAAAGTAAGTAAAAGTCATGTGTTTGAATTTTTATTTTAGTAAAATTATTAGCAGCAAATTAAAAGTAAAAGTGCTCATCATGCAGAATGCAAAATATACGCATTACATTGACACACAGTTTTTTAAATAGCCATGAATTTATAGGATGTTGTCAGAATCTTGAATCTTGAAGTGAATCTTAAATGTCGACTTAATGTGCTGATTTTTAAGCTGTGAAGTGAACAAACTGTTGTTTCCCGCTGACAGATGAGTCACTACCTCACAGTTCCTGCAAACCGTCAGGAGGCGCCTCCGGTCAGGAAGGTCGGGTTTGAATCAGGTCAGTTCAACGTCCAGAAATCATCTTTACAGCTTCAAAAAAAAAAAAAATACATGTGTACAGAGATGGTGCTTTGAGCAGAGCTGCTCTAGCTAAATAAATGAGAGTTAATAAAAATGGAATTAAAATTAAATGAACATATAGTCCAAGGCCCAGAACTCGTCTTACTTTGAAATTATACATTTTCAGATGAACTGAGTAGCAGCCGAGGGACATGACTGAACATCTTCCTTATAAATAAACAATATTACTCATTTCATTGTTGGTTAGGAAGGAGTGTTTGTCAGCCTGCAGCCTCTCTGCCAAATCAGGCTGAGCTCCATAAAGTTTGTGGAGGATAAAGCCTTTTTCTCGTTGCCTAAAAGTCAAAGAGATTAACCGTCACGCACCCATGAGGACACTTTTGTCCTTTACATTTTTTATTTTTAGCTAATTTTGGCTGTGTTTACGCATTTGGCATAAAAATTACTTAAAGTATTTAGGAGGGGATTTTGAAAAAAGTTCAATCGCAGCCTCCATAAGACATGAATAACAACCTTTGTACACACAACTGCTAAACTCAGACCTTATTAAGAACTGAAATATCCCCAGTGAAACCCATTATAACTGCTATATTTGTAGCTTTGGCTTCAAAATGTTCGTTTTTAGTGTTTTCCATTAGATTTTGTCTTTTTTTTTTTGTATTTGGAATTCAGTGTTTTTCTCATAACAAACAGCACTGACAAAATGTAAACGAACCGGCATTGAAAGGGTTAAAATCCTGAAAATGAATGAATATTTGATGATTATGATCAGGACTGGTGTAGATCATATATTTATGTGTAATGTTTTTCTAGCATTGTTTTTTGATGTTGACATTTCTGTCCTTCAGGACTTCGGTGTCACTTTTTAAATTGATTCCTGAGGCTTAAAGAAGACACAAAATACTGAATTTCATTATAAATAAATCAAAAACCATCTGATACAAATACAGTAATAAAATCAAAAAAATAACATGAAAGAAAAGAAAAACAACAGAAACGTGGAATAAGAGCTGGAGGGGAGACAGAATAAGAAAAACTATTAAATAAAACAGGCTGCATGTAGACTAATGAGCCTCCGTCTGTGTTCTCCAGAGCATCAGGTCTTTACGTACGACGACTCTGAGAGTCCCGGAGATCGATCTGTTCAGACGAAGCCCAGCTCTGCTGCCGTCAGGCTGCTCAACGAGTCTCCTCAGAGGCCCGATCAGAGCGACGCCGAGCCCAAACCCAAAGCGCAGGACGACCAGGAGGAGCAGCTGAAGCTTTCACGCTGCCTCAGCGATCCTGGACCGAACCAGGAGGAGAAGGAGTCCTGATGAAGCACATCTACAGCACTTGAAGACTGACGCCGAGCTCTTTGCCTCCACATGTAGCCTGACGAGGTCAGCCGGTGGAGGGGAGCTGTAGCGAAGCTCGATATTTATCATTTAAATCGTTGTTTTTTTGTGATATGAGATTACGCAACTTGTTCTTTTTCAGCGTTTTGGACTTTTCATAATGTTTTTATCATATGCAGTATTACCAAAGCATGCACCACCACACGGACACTTGGCTGTGTCAGGTGTCAACATTTTCTATCTTAACATGCAGAGTGCTTGTTTTATCAAGCTTGAAGCACCAGATGGGTGGAGTTTTCCCCCCTCAAAGGGAAAGGCTTTAAAGCACAGCCCTAGTCATGATGTTTGTCTGTCGCAGGTACAAATGGGTGATAAATTAAAGGAAAACCTAAACGGACCACCATTCTTCCAAAGGACAGTCCATAATTTGGTGTTTTGATACTGATTGATTTGGGGAGATTGTGTGAGGGGTTGGTGCATCGAACACCACAATCTTACTTAATTGTTGAACCCCCCTCTGGATCGAGGCAACATCAATTCATCAGGATGAAAATCGTAGGCGTCACAGGATGAAGGTGATTCCTCAGAACAAGTTTGTATTGATTGAGTGATTTTTCTGTCTAAGAAGGCTCAGATCAGGCCAGCAAAATGAGATCCTCTTACTGTAGAGGGGAGGTTTTCCTTTAATCTGTCACCCATCAGCAGCAGAACAGACATGGGTCCATATATAAGAACAAGCACTAAAGATGTGTTGGAGGTCATTTAAAGTTGGACTAAAACTTTGCTTTCAGCCATGCTAGCAGTGAGGCTCAGCCCAGCACTTCGGTTCAGACTGAAATGTCTGAACAACCTTGAGATGATTCGCCATAAAGTCTCGTTCTGACGTTCGTGGCACCCAGAGGATGAATCCTGCCGACTTTAATGGTCCCCTGACCTCTGGCTCCACACTGAGGTTGTATCTTTAGTGAAATGCCTCGTGAAATACTTAAAAGAGCTGCAACAGATAAATAATCTTCTGCTTATATTCTTGATTGATTAGTTGTTTGGTCCATAAAAGATCAGAAAACAGTGAAAAGTGTCGATGATGACGACATTCTCAGACGTCTGGTTTTCTCCACAACCCAAAGATGTTAGAAACTGGAAAACATTCACATTTAGGAAGCTGGTATCTGAGAATCTTGACTCTCTTTCTTCTAAGTTACTCAAACTGATTCATTGATGATCAAGATAGTTGAAAAGTAAATGATTAAACGAATAATTGTTTCAGCTCTGCGACTGGATGGATTGAGGTGTGTGACGTGATCCTCATCAGGTCAAAACACCAATTAGTCTGACTTCCTGTGAAGCTAAATACATTCCAGCCTTTGCTCTATGTTGCATTTGGGGCTTTTTAGCAAATGCTAGCACCCAAACCTGCTTAGGGATAGTAACCATTAAAACTGCTATCCCCATGTTAGCATTTAGCTGTGCCAAAGTACCGCCTCACAGTGCTGCTAGCATGGCTTTTGTTTAAATGTGCTGCTGTGTACAGACCACAATAAGTGTTTTATGTGCTAATGTCAAACAGTATTGGCCCATATCATTGTTGACACTGATGTCCGCCTCAAAACTCCTTTGCTCGGGCTGTACGTGAAACATAAAAGTGTCCTGTTAAAACAGAAAACACAAAACTGGTGGATTCAAGGATGTTAAAGGTGAAATGTGTAGGATTTAAGGGGGTGTATTGGCAGAAATGGAATATAATACTAGGAATTAGTGTTGTCTAGGGTTAAATCACATGAACATGAGAATTTCTCTGGTTTTTGTCACCAGCTTTACATCTACAGCAGTCGGCCATGTTGCACTGCCATGTTTATACAGTAGCCTTGAACGGACAAACCAAACATCAGCCATGTTTAGGTCAGTGTATGTTTAAGCGTATTTTGAAGTACAGCGTTGGAAAGAGTTGAGGAAAACTGGAAATGGCTTTTTCGAATAAGTTTCTTGGCCAATACAAGTTGACATTTAAGGATAATCGCAATAGTTTCCGAACTGAAAACAGTTTTTGAGGACGTCCATTCATTTTTTTTTTAAGCTTTGTCCCTTTCTTCTTCTTCTTTGGGGTTTTATCGTAATGTAGCCTATACTGCCACCTTCTGGTAACACTATGCATTTTCTTTTTTCTTTTTTTTTTTGCGACATTTCAAAAGTTTGCTTCAAATTGCAGATTAACTGGAAACACTGGCTGTAGAGGAAGACTTTAGCGTTCTTTAAATTCTGGATTTCCAGTATCGACACTAGATGCCACTAATTCGTGCACACTTCACCTTTAAACCTGTTTAAAGAGTAAACTGCCAGTATAGTTTGACCGAGGTCTGTGAACAAGCTTATCACTGTGTTTCTCTCTACAAACTTGGCTGCGTGATCGATCGGTGTTTTCTCAGGGACTGCAACGTGGCTCAACAGACGCCAAGAAAAAGTGCTTCACAGTGTTCTGTTGATATCGCGACCGTTTCGTAACTTCCAGTGTTTTCAGCGTCGTTTTGTTGACTTTGTCGGCGTGAACGGGGTGTTACATTTCAGTGTTTTGGTGTGTTTCTGCTAACTGAGCATGCTTTACGGGGAGGTTAAAGAGACTGAGCGGCCTATTCGTGCCTGCACTTCACACCACTGAGCTGCCTGCACGTGTTTGCCTTAAAATGTTTGGCTTTTTGTGTGTTTACCAGTTGTGATATTTTTTTATATTTTGCAAAGATAAAAATGTGTTCAAGTCCTGAATATTTATCAAATGAAGGAAATAAAGGTTTCTCATTGCTGATGTTGTTGGATTTTGGAGAAGGTAGAAAGAAAAGAGTGGAGAGTGTAAAACTTGGTGTGTAATGACATTGAGGTGAATTTATATCAGTGGTGCCCTAAATGTCACATCAGACCAGTGTTATACATATAGCACATTTAAAGCAACAACAGTTGACCTAACAAGTTTAAATACTGCGGTTAAGTCTATATGATGGTATCTAGGATGTGAATTAACTGGACTAATTCAAATGTTAAAATACAACTTCACCTGACTATAGTAAATATTGAGGGTACGACCCTACAGTAGTAATAATTTGTAAGGGAAATATAAAAATGAAGTGTGGGTTCTCTCCGGGTTCTCCAGCTTCCTCCCTCAGTCCAAAAACATGTTGAGGTTAATTGGTGATTCTAAATTGTCCGTAGGTGTGAATGTGAGTGTGCTTGGTTGTCTGTCTCTAAGTGTGGCCCTGTGATAGACTGGTTACCTGTCCAGGTGAACCTGCCTTCACCCTGAGTCAGCTGGGATAGACTCCAGCCCCCCATGACCCTAGTGAGGATTAAGTTGTGTACAGATAATGGATGGATGGATATAAAAATGATAAATATTGTCCACATCAAAAAGTCTGCATTTTTAAAAAACATTTGACCATAAAATTTGTGAATTTTTTTCTGTATTTAAATACGCAAAAATATCAATATTTTACATGTTTTGCTGTTATTTGAAAGAAATAGTGTTTACATTAAGGATTGACAATATGAAATATTATTTTAGCTACAAGTGTTGTTAAATTACAGAAAATTAATTAATTTACAAGTTGACTATAAAACAAAAAATAAACCTCCTACATTGAGGTTTATGTGAAGTCAAGAATGTATAGAAGAGCTACAGAGCACACATCTGCTACAAGCACTACGTTTACCTAAAGAGGTCAATCAGTTCAATATCTTCTCTAAAAGATTAACTCCAAACCAGGAAAGTAATTTTTCCTTCACACCGTGAAGATAAAAGAACACTCCAAGAACTCTGTGAAAAGGATATTTGAAAGTATAAGTCAGGGGAAGGATACATGAAAATTGTCAAGTCACTGAATATCTCTTAGAGTTCACTTAAATCTATTATTGACAAAAAGTTGAAGAAAATCTGCTGAGGGTAGGTCGTCTTAAGAAAACCAAGCAAGAAAGAGACTAGTGTGGGAGACCACCAAGACACCTATGACTCCTCTGAAGGAGCTACAAGTGTCAGCAGCTAGTAGAGACATACAACTGTTGGCTGTTTATTACCAGTCCAAACTTTACACAAAAGTGGCAAAGAGAAAGACACTGTTGAAAAAAATCTCATTAAATCTGGACGAGCGTTCACAGGAAGGCATGTGGGTGACTCCGAAGTCAACTGGAAGAAGGTTCTTTAATCTAATGAGACCAAAATTGAGCGTTCTGTCCATCAGACTACACGCTATGTTACTATTAAACTCTGCATATCGTCACAAACACACCATTCCCACTGTGAAGCATGATGGTGGGCCTTGTAAAGGTTGAGAGCAAAATGAATGCAGTGAAGTGTAGAGAAATCCTGGAGGACAACCTGATGAAGTCTGCAAGAGAACTGGAATACTTATGCAAACACCTATTTTATGTTTTTTTTGTCTTTAATTAATTGACATTACTTTGTAGAAGTCTGTTTTCTTCTTTGACATTAAAGAGCCTTTTTTGTTTTTCATTTTGGTAACGTCTTGTCAAAATGGCCATGATTCAGTGTCAAAAATCAATAAAAGGAGAAAACGTCCGAGGGGGACAAAAAGTTTTTAGAGGCTCTATAGATCACCTGGACAACTGCCTGGCCACGATAACACATGATATCATTATATGCAGTCTTTAAAGAAGTTAAACCACAGCCGGTGAATGAGCACCAACAGAAAGCTCAGCCCATCAAGGCTCTCTGGAATTTCCAGTAAGAAATAACAGGGAGTCTGAAGTCCCCATCATGCCAACCAGCAGAGTGTGATGAAACTGACAACAAGAGCAGCGAGCATCCACGGCAGACGACGCAGAAGGCAGACATGGACTTCAGCGGCACCTGGAAAGTTTATTCTGAGGAAAACCTGGAAGAGTTTCTCAAAGTAATAGGTGAGAATGTTTTCATATCTAAGAAATGCATTTGCTTCTGCATGCACAAGTAAGGCAAGATATTCATTTATTTATCCCACAGAGGAGACATTTGCTGTCTTACAGTAGCAAAGCAGTGCAACAACATAGAGGCATCATCAATAACTAAAAATGAACAAGAAATATATATATATATGTATGTCCATGATAAAACATATATTTATACTATACATTGTGTGTATTATATATATATTTAAATATACCTTCAAGGTGCACCTGAAATGATGGTGAAAATGCGTAAGGAGGTGAAGCCGGTGATAGTGATCGAGCAGAATGGGAACGACTTCACCTACACGATGAAAACTCCTGTCTGCACCAAAGTCCACTCGTTCACTCTCGGGAAGGAGACGGAGATGGCTGCTCTGGACGGCAGGAAGTTTAAGGTAATCCAAGAACCTTGTTCCAAAGCGCTTCATTTATGTTAAGACAGAGTGAGCATGTCAGAGGTTTGTGTGCTGACGAAGCCAAAACCTTAAAAAGTGCCTCCAATCAGAAATCAAATCAGGCTGCAGTCGTGTTTTTGTGAATTTTAAAGGTTCCATACGGCCTCTTTTAAGCAAATTAATCAGTGTCTCAGTGTAGTTTTCACAGTTTTCAGCTCAAAATACTGCAAACATGGTTCATTTTACCATGACTGTAAAACTCCTGGTTTGTCGTCCTGTTCTGAACGCTTTGAAAACCAATCAGCTGCTGCTGTTCCCGCCCCCTTCAGGAAGAAAACGCTCCCTGCTAGCTGGACTACTGTTATGTAGCTGGGATGTTAACTAGTTGGTAGGGGTTTGAGGAATGGCAGGAGAAATTGGTTTCAGAGCTTACCAGCTTTTATTTTACACCTCCAAATTTGAAACAACCACAAAAGATAGAAACAAGGATTTTTCCTCATATGGGACCTTTAAAGTAAAGTCCACGTTGTTAATGATGGAAACAGCAGTGCACAGCTCTCCCCCATGTGTTGTTGTCTAATGCATTCAAATCTGATTCATGTAGAAAAAGAACAAGTCGCTGGGATCTTGACACATTGTGGAGCTTAGCCATGTCCAGTAGTCAATGATTTTCCCCAGTAATTGCACCATTTTATGAATATTTATTATTAGAAACTGTAGGCTCAGTTCATGTTTCATATTAATATCACACTGAGTTTAGTTTCACTGGGCCAGCGGTTCCTAATCTGTGTACCTTGGAATTTATGTTATTCAGAATGATTTACAGCTGTAACCATGTGGAAATGTGTCATGATGCTTGTTTTAGTACATTTTATTCAGTTGTAATTTGGGTGAGTGGCTCTTAGAATATCATATTACTTTATTATTATTATCGCTAAAATGTATTTAAAATATCCACAAGAGGTATGATTTTTATTTTTGGCTCATTAAAAGCTTGAGAACTACTTCCTAAAGCTGTATTGTCTGTTCTTGGTCAGTGCACCGTCAGAGAGGAGAATGGGAAGCTGATTTCTGAGACTGACAAGTTCACGTCTGTCCGGGAGATCCAAGGAGACGACATGGTCGAGGTGAGCAGCTTTATTTCTATTAAAACCTGCTGGATAGATGAGAGGGAACTGCTGAGTTTTGGAAGTGAACCAGCCTTAAAATATTTTTGTTTTTTGTGTGTTTAACACTTTTCCAATACAACAATGTGTTGAAGTCATAACTATGTGCCAAATGAAGAAAAGCTTTACTTTTTATTTTCTAGATTTGTTTCTCGACTAACATGAAGCCTGAGAACTTGGTCAGTGCGCTGCAAAGATGAGGGAATCGGTGTGTTTTTGCAGTGAATCAGCCATGTTTTCTTTCTGTATTTTCCAGACCATCACTGCGGGTTCTGTAACCTTCATCAGCAAAAGCAAGCGAGTCTGATCAGCAGCCAGAAGCTCGTGGAGTCCTATCAGACCAGCTGGCCTTAAAACAAGGGGTCATCCGGAAATAACATGATAATAAATAAAGGGTAGATACATAAATATATAACCAAATGAATAAGCATGTGTTTGTTTTATTTACTTATGGGCACAGGTATCCGGGCATCCTGGGCTGCAGCACTGTGTATTTTATAAATAGAGCTGAATCTCAAAAACGAAATTATTTAAAAATTACACCCAATCTGTTTATTTGTTGTGATCATGCATTAAGGCCACAAAAAACAATATGCTTCCATCATTAATGAAGTGATATATATCTGTGAAAGCAAAAGCAGTTGTAAGCTCTAAGGTTGACATGTATTTATATCATGATCAACTGTTAACTCTTTATTCATAATCAGTTCCTGGTATGTTTATTCCTGTTCAGAGAAATAAAATGCGTCTGTGTTCAGAGTTACAGGTTGACTGCTGCTTATAGTCATGTGAGATGTGTATGTTACACAACTTGGATCAGAAATAAGGAGTTGAGGCCTCCTCAAGTCAGTGCAATGTTTTAGTCTTGTTAGGTTGTTTTTCATCATAGTTATTTTTTTTTTACTGTGGCTGCTGTTAAGTTAAATTATTATTATTATTATTATTGTTATTATTATTATTATTATTATTATTATTATTATTATAGTGGAGGCCACAGGTTGATATGTGGTGTTCAAACTGCAGGTGACGCTGCAGTTTTTTTCCCCCGTTCCTCTTTATTTGTACGCGAAGAAGAACCAGAAGGCGCCTTCTTAGTGCGCATGCGCTGCATATTTTCCCTCTGCAGGTTTTCCTCCCCCCCAAATTTTCTTCTTCTGAGTGTGTGTAACTTTATGGCCAGATACATGAGGCCTCCAAACACGTCTTTGTTTGTCAGGAACATCTCCGATGAGTCCAGGTGAGTCTGAACCAGAACCACGCAGCTTCTACTAACTAACTATGTTCACGGCAGCTGGCCGAGTTAGCTTAGCAGCTCAGGTTAGCTTCCTCGGAGGAGCCTCAAGTTACGTTAAAGCAACGTGCAGGTTCGGCTAATGTTGGGAAATATGTTTACCAGCAGCCACACATTTCAGTCGTAAATATAAACTACAATCACAACCGTAATAATAATGTGGCTCTTTATAGACTTTATCCGCCTCCTTATCCGTTTTCATTAACGCCTCTCTTTAGCCGCGCACGTTTTCATGTTTTTGAATAAAGCTAACACCGCTAGCTAGCTAACTAACGCAGATTCAAAAACAATACTTAAATTGATGTTTTGGTGATTTTGGAGGTAAGAACGTGAAAAATGTTTTTTAATTACGGTTGAGCATCATGTTTATCTAACCCAGCTAACGTAACCATTATTTAGGTTTACTGCTAATAACTTTAATTACTGTTATTGTTGTTCTGTTGGTGAACTGTGACAGCGTTGTCCTGCTACTAACTGATGTGAAATTCAGCTAACAGTAAATGATCATGTGGAAGAAGTAGTCAGGCCTTCTTATGTAGAAGTAGTAATATCTTTGAGTAGAAATACTTAAAAGGTACAAAATGAGATTCCAATACCATACGGTCTTAGCTACATCATTGCATTATTCTCCATCGTTAAAAACACTGTAGGATCTCAGCCTTAATATGTAGTTAAGTAGTATTTTATATGATTTTTGTAGGATTTTAATCCACAATATTACACAGGTAAAACTACGCCATGTAAATTGTTCATATTTATTGCTCAGTATAATTAACACAGTGTTGATCTTAATTGTATTTTTTCCTCATCGTGGTGACACAGGAACTTGAAAACCTTAGACATATATATATATAATCTTTGTTGTTGTTTGCTGAAAGGTTCTGCTTGTACATTTGATGTTAATAGAGCAACAATCATGTGTCTGTTGATAGTATGTCAGTCCTACACCAGTGGGTTTTACCTGAATTGCATGTTGACATAAAGTGTGTGTATTTTAAAGGGACAGTTCACCCAAATACACAGTAGAGTTGTGAAGTGTGAGAAGCTGCTTCTGAGTGGTTTGAATCAGTCGTGTGCAATACCCACAAGCCTCGACTGCCGTTGCCATGGAGAAGAGTCCAGTTCGAGCGGGAGAGAATTCAGAAGGCTTTGTTGTTAATCCTGAAAACAAAATATGATCCTGTAGTTAGGGCTATAGTCAACCAAAGAATATCCTGGTTGACTGGAGTAGTACCGAGTCTTCAACGCCTTGGTCGCTCCTGGTTCACAAGGAAATAAAAATTGACATGTAATCTATAGGTGAACTAAATGCACCAAAGCACACTGAGTGCACTCCACCTGCTGCATTGTTAGCCTGAATGAATTATAAATGAACATAAAAGCTAGTACTTTCAGCATACTAAATCATTCTAACCTAATTTTAGACCGAAATGGTAAGAACAGAGTCAGAGCAGATCAGCTGCACATATTCATATGATTTCTGAAAATAAAACTATGTCAGCTGGTGATCCGACAGAAGAACTTATTGAGGGAGTTAACTGCTTTTTCTACATTATCACACCACAGCGACAACGTGTTTCACATCGTCGGTTAGTTTGGAGCCACCTCAGAGTAAACATTCAGTTAATTCTAAATAAGTTAGGGTACTTTAAAAGAGTTCATAGCCTCACCGGGTAACAATCAGGGGCGCAATTTCCATTTTGGGGCATTTCTGTATACTATAAAGCCTGATGTCACAGTCCACAAAAGCTCAAATGAGTTCTAGAAGTCAAATGAGTAAGGTGCAACAGTTTAAAGCCACGTTTTGGTGCTTCTGCCAAATGAGCTGTGTGGACAGGCCCGTTGTCCTGGAGCAACAGCAGCCGGCTCGAAGCTTTCCTTCCCTTTTTTCTATGATTGCTTCAAACATTTGAGTTTGTGTTTACAGCGATATACACCTTTATGGTTTACAGTTGTGGGCCAGAATTGGAGTTTGGCCCCGTTTTGTTTTTGTCTGAGGCTGAGTGCTTTTTGGAGAACACTCGTAGCAGTCTCCAGTTCAAAGCTGTGAAAACAGAGTGGTATTCGCAGGTAGTCAAAAATAACAAAATAATCTTAGAAGTGTATTTATGTAGCGCTTTTGACCTTGTTGTACCATTTGTTTGGATGAGAGCAAATCAATCAACCAGTCGACCTGGATACAGCTGAATTCGTCCAAAATGGAATCCGAATTAAAAAAAAACAGAAAACAAAACAAGATAATTTAAACTACTATTAATGTTTTCAGGTGTTTGACCCTTTGTCGTTGTCTACCATTGATCACTCAGGACACAAAATTTTAAGTTGTAGATAGAATGTGTCTCAACTAAATGCTCCATTGGAATCGTAGTTAACATCTACCTTTATGTTTCCTGCATACGTGCATGTACTAATGAAACTAGGAGTTTAATGCCAATCCAATGTTTGGAACCAGTGATGCCTCAAGTAGCTCCTCACACTCTGCAGCTCTGTAGATGGGTTTCAAATAACACTGCTGGGATACAGACTGTTTTCTAGCTTCTCTGTGTTGGGGTTTACAACAGGTGGATCGCTGTCCAGGTAAGATGTAAAACAATGTTTTTTTTGGGTTGAACTGTCCCTTTAGCTTTGCTCAGCAGCTGCTCTCCCAGCTGCTGTCACTGGTTAATTATGTAGGTAGATTTGCCCCTGATGGTCAGTTGAGTCATACTTGTATTTACGGTGTTCAGGCCTGAGGATTTGCGGCGTGAGTTTGGCCGCTATGGGCCGATAGTAGATGTCTACATCCCACTTGACTTCTATACACGTCAACCAAGAGGATTTGCATACATTCAATATCCTTTCCCAATGAGTTTTAACTGTGTGTGCTCCTGCTAACAAACCGTTTTAATTTCCTTTCAGCAGAGAAGATTTTTTATTTTTTTTGGTTTGTTTGTTCTTTTTTTAAAAATGTCATTTATTTTTTTCCCACATAATTTGATTGAATATCTAACACACGTATTTCTCTGTTATTGCTTCAGAAAATGTAAAAGCATCCAGTTGTGGAACCGGCCACAAAGAGTTACAAAGACCCGTGTAGAGTAGCTGTAAAGACAAGTGACACACAGACCTGCAGGATCAGAGGGAGGGAAAAGATTGAAAAGAGAAAGTAAAGCATGAAGAGGAAAAGGGAACGGAGACAAAGCTTGGAAATGGCGGCAAAGAATGGGGAAAAGGAAAAAGAGGTTTAAGAGGAAAAAGCAAGCAGGAAACCCAAGTCTCTCTGGGAGTCGATAAAAGAGTGTAAAGATCAAGATGAAGTTCAAAGTCAAGCATGGCCAAAGGTAACAAGTCTGAATTATTTTGTATCCTCCCAAGACAAATCCACAAATTTGACACGACACCAAAATCAGCTTTTCCCTGTGACGTCGATGGCATTTTTAACTTTGATCCAAACAATTTAATCAAGTTTTAATGTGTTTGATTTGTTATATATTCATTGTCCTGATCCCTCAGAAAAGTTAGTTGATGTGTTTGAAAAGCTTGCTTCATCTTTTATCTCTACAAGAATCAACTGAGTGTCTATTTGTGTGTTGTTTGTTTTTTCTCACTTGTCTTTCAGTATTATGTACAGTGCATTTTATATGTGTTTTAGCTTTTAAACCAGGCCTCACAAATTAAACTAAATGTTTGATGAATGTCCTGCCAAAAAAAGAAAATGTGAAGTTCTTTAATTTGATGGATGGAGCTTAAAAAGTGAAATTCCTACAAGATTATGAGAGGAAACGGTTTGTTGAATCAGCAAACATTTATGTAAATTTGTGTGGCCTTACCAAAAAATGAGAGCAAACCAAACCCTTAACAACTCAGCATGTTTGAGGATGTGCGCGATGCAGAAGATGCTCTTCACAGCCTGGACAGGAAGTGGGTTTGTGGCCGGCAGATTGAAATCCAATTTGCGCAGGGCGACAGAAAGAGTAAGTATCTGATGTATAATTATTTTTGTTCATAGTGCCAAATGTTTTGTCGTTAAATATTGTTTTGCTGCATGCTGAAAGTCGATAAGACTCTGTGCCATACAGAAGTAGAGCTGTTACAGTCATGAAATAGGAGTTTGTCAATTTTATGGCTCCATTAGTGTAACGTCAGTATAAGCGTTGCCTTTTTCCTTCAAATCCAACAAACTGTCTCGTCCAAGTTATTGGATTCTCCTTTTTCTTTTGGTGTAAAATCAAAATCTGCTGCAGGATCAGCTGCTAAGTCAGTGATGTTAATGTCAACAAGTGCTCAACAAAATGCAATTGGTGTGATTCAACTATTGTGGAAGAATGTGTGGACAAACATGGAAGTAGTGACTGAAACATGACACTTCTGTTGGTTTTATCAAGCTGTTTTTATACAGGTGAACGATTCAAATATGTAAAAATGAGCTCAAATAGTTGTGATTGTGTAATGAATTGTGACAGACCAACTGGAGGAGGCGTTGAGACAAATCCTATTGGTCGCCCATGTCTCACAGCTCCACACAAGTTCACTGCATTTACACCTGTAGAACTGAGGGAACTGTAAAATATGGTTTGCATTGTATAAAGTCAAATGTTACACAGACCACATATTGTAATGGACTCTTCAGCTCTATGTCAGCAGCTCATTGGGGAAATTTCGCACAGTCTCATTGTAGGAAAGTTAACCCTTTTCTCATCACCTTCTCTTTCCCACAGCACCGAATCAGATGAAAGCTAAGGAAAGGAGTTCTCCGGGGGGCAGATCCTCCCGATACGACGATTACGACCGAGACAGCCGCCGCCGCCGCCGATCACGCAGCCGCAGCTACGAGCGATACCGATCACGCAGCCCGTCTTACGATCGCCGTCGCAGGCGATCAGAGAGCCCTCGAGAGTGCGTTTTTTTTATCTCAGCGGCTTCTCACAGTTGTTTTGCTCTTTAAAACGAAAAAGGGAAATAACTTTTTGCGTTTCTCTTATTTTTTTTAGGTCTCGCGGACGGGTGTACGGAAGAGGAAGAAGCAGGAGCCGCGAGGACGAAAGGTACAGCTTTGATCACGACACCATCTGTGTTAGTCGGAGTTAACAGTGGGCTATATTTAGAGCAGGTGTCACATAGTTAGATGCTCTGTTTAGTGGTGCTTAAAGGTTTATGAGCCCCGTTGAAGAAAAACTGAATCAAGTTAAACAAATGCGACACAAATATTATTCTTACTTTTTTGCTTTATCCACTTTTGGGACTTGTGGGAAAATGTTATGGGTGATATTTGTGCAGATACATAGACAACTCTGACCTTTTAAGCGCTGCTGTCGGACAGACGAGTCGATCTTTAACAAAACACAGCAGAGTGAGTGACAGAAAAGTGAAAGCTTCATGGCCTTTAGTGGGAACATATTTGAAGCTCTCCTGCTCTAATGTGGTAAATCAAAGCTCTTTTGTGTATGTATGTTGTCATGATGTTATTGACTTCGGTAGACTTTGCACACATGCTTACACAGTGTTTGTGAGTCCCAGTGGGACCGGCAACAACTACAGTCTGTTTCTTCCGGCGGCATGTTACTGCGTCCATGAAGGTTGTTTAAAGACACAGGTGGTGATTTATGTGCTGTATGTAAATAGTAGGTAAATAGATGACATCCAGCAGGAAAATCTGGCTCCTGGCACCAGCTCAAGTTTCACACTGCTGTTTTCTTACAATATTTCTTGAACGCCTCGAGTGAGTGTCTTGAAATAACGTTTACTAGGACTCAGTAATGATTAAAGTTTAAAGGTTAGTGTGACCTCACACACACGGTGAAGGTAAGAGGACGAATCGAAAAGGTCAACAAACACTCTGCTAGCCTACTCTGTCAGTCCTCAGTTACAGTAAAAAAACGACTTGTGACCTCAGATTCGATGCGACAACAAATAGTTTCATAAATTAATTTTGTTCCTACATTGCTTTAAAGAAATAGATTAGTCCGAAAAGTAAACGTTTTAGGACGTATGCTGTAAAATTTGCTCCAGAAAAATTGCCGACCCCACCGTCACCAAGTGCATGTTCAAAGGGAATCTGGATTCTTTGGTTTCTCCCTAAAAGCAGGTATTGGAATACCCTGTTTCTGACTTGTGTTGTGAATTGGCACAATTTGGATTAAATTAAAATGCATTGAACCCCTTCTGTAAATATAATGTGCTTTATTTTATGTAAAGTGAATGTCTTTGTTGAGCTTCGGTTTGTTTCTCTCTTTGCGTCTTCAGATACAAGCAGAGGCCTCGGAGAGAGTCCAGAGAAAGATCCAGATCGCGATCCAGATCGGCGTCCCCGCGAGAGCCCGTCAACCCGCCGTCGACCTCCCACTACGTCGAGGAGGAAGTGAGGCGGGTGCAGTCCACCTCCCGCTCCAGGTCCCGGTCGGTGTCGAGATCACGCTCACGTTCGCGCTCTCGGTCCCGGTCCTGGGCCGGACACAAGTCAGGAGGACGCTAAGCAGAACCTGCCCCCGATCCAAACCCTCAGTACGGGCCCGAGCGGCTCATCGTTAAGAAAAGATCTGTTTGTTTGACATGAATGTAACGTCCACTGAACCATTTGTAGAAAGCTTGTTTTTTCGCGGCTCCATTTTAAGAACGATGCTGGTCCTTGGCTTGGTTTTATAAAATTGTTTTTGGTAATATTTCCCTGTAGGAATATGAAACGGCGGTTTCTGTGTTCAGTGGTAGCCTGACAGGAATAATATATTGTCTTTTTTATATACGGTTACTGACAAATTTTGTTTTCTAGACCCTATGCACCCATTTTTGCAACAAAAAAAAGGAAAAAAAAAAACAACCTTCCCACATTCAGTATTTTAGGAGAGAATCCGCTCTGTTGACGAATCTGATCTGTGTTTCTGTGTTTTATCACGTTCATAACTAATCGTGTACTTGTCACTGTGCTGCCCAGCATTTTCCAGCTGCTTTTCTACAGGCGCCCCTTTATTTCTCAGTAAGAACCTGTTTTAAACGTGCTTCTGATCGATAATCCGTCACATCACTGTGTGGTAATTATCCTGCAACATGCGATTGAGGCAGTTTAGGATTTTTATAGTATAAAGGAGAGCTGGCGACTTCCTGGATGATTGAGGGAGATGCAGAGCGTGGTGACTGGTGGCGGCTCTGTCCAGTACATGAGTGTCGGTGCTAAAGTGCACAGAAGTGACGCCGTGGTCCTTAAAAGTGTTAAAGTTTTGACTTCAACAAACTGTACGATGATTTGTTCTCATTTTGTGGTGTTTTCCGTAAGAGTAGACCTCCTGAAAAAACAAAAAGGCATTTACTTAGTGACATTTCTCCAAACATGGGCTCTGAGAGGAGGAGCAGAAGTTTCTCGCCAGTGTTTACTCGACTGTGTTGATGGTTTTTTCAGACTGACTCGTGTCGCTGCATGTTTTATCCTCCTCGTCTTCTATCTTTAGTAGGAAGAAACTGTTATTTTCTGTAATAAATGGATAACATTCAGTATAAGAAAACGGCGTGTGGCTTCAGTTTGTGAACTGCGTACGGCTTAAGTTTATTAATATATCGAACACGGATTCTTCTTCTTGTTCAATATGTGTTGGGTGTGAATAACGTGGATCCACAGTCTGCAGCCTGAACACAGCAGCACAGTCAGTGCAGTCGCTGCTATTGATTTCCTTTTAATGGAACAGCAGCAGGGAGGAACAAACTGAAATTAGAATCACAGCAAAGAAGCAACCATGTATGAAATCGGACATGTCCCATTGATCACTGTATTGGAAAAAATACAGCAGTCCAACAAGTAGCATGGAGGCTTGTGATACGGTCTCACACCATCCCTAGGTGGTTCTGTAGCTCTGCTGCACGGTGAACAGATTCTGGTTTAACTATAACTATGGACTCTAAGGGTTCTGGTCCACTTTCTGTGTCGCCTCTGAACCAATGAAAGTGCTGCTTGAGCTTTTTTCTGTGCTGAAGAAACACCAAACATGCAGGGACAAGCTGATCAGTTGATGTTCTGACTGAAAAAAGTCAGACTGGCGCTAAAACACTTTATTTAAAACACGTGTTGGCAGCTTTTTTTTAGTTTTAATTTGAAGTGTTTTTGCAGGAAAGAGGAATATTTAGGATTTCGGTGCCCCCTAAAAGTGTTTCAGTCAGCACTAAACAAAAATAACCACCTCCAACATAACAATTGAGAATTAAAACAGTTTAAACAAACACATCAGGCATTTTTGCCGATTAAATGGTCAGAAATATCCACAAAATACAAGTAATACAGGCTCATTTTTGTTACTGTACACAATGTGATTGTACTTTTTGTTGCACATAGTCACTCCCAAAGACTCATTTGGAGCTACGAAAAACCCACATATTTTTCTTTTTAAAGATAAAACACTGCTTCTGGCTGTCCGTATGTGGACGTTTACTGTTTTTCATTGACCAAACTGACAGCACAGTTCGTGTTTTTGACTTAATTTAATTTAAAGACGTCATATTTTCTTGTCCTAGAAAATGTGTAGTTTTTTTCTTAATTATATATAAATAATACGTTATTTTAAACCCTGTAGTACCCTTGAAAAGCAGTTGTTTGAACCGTCGTGCAGGATGGACGTGCTTTAGTAGATCCTGTGTGTCAGGAAACATAACTCGGGTGTGAATGGTTGTTTTGTGGAGCAGGTCGTCATCCGTCACAAAGTTCACAAGAGCAAATATTCTGACCTGCGGGGTCACGACCCCAGATCGAAGTCAAACAATTAGTCAATTAATCAATTAGCTGATGGACAGAATTTTAACAGGCGAATGGTTCGACAGTCGATTGCTCTGTTAAGCCATTTTTCCGAGTTAATATTTGATGTCCGTGTGAGAATTTGCTGCTTGTTTGTTGGATGGAGGGTTAATCAAAGGTTTTAGCTTCATCGATGCTTTCAAACATCACACAAGGCGTCCTGTTGGATAATTATAGAGTCACATCTGTCTGTGCTCTGAACACTGCAGCACAAAAGAAATTAACTCTTCATTATCAAAAGTTGAATAATAACTTCAGTGTCTGTGTGAAAACCCAGAAGGCTCATAATGATCAACCTGTGATCCGTCCTGGGTATAAATATCCACGTTTGACCTCTTTAGAGTCAAAACTGACGCTTCAGTTTTAGTTTAAAAAAAAAAAAAAAAAAAAAAGCACTTTTCTGGCTTTTCTTGAACGATAATTCAGGAACAGAAGGTGAGATCGTGACCGTATTTGGTCAGATACAGAACTGGTGACACTGACTTTTGTTGCTCACTTGTTTTGCTTAATTTGTGATGTAACATATGTAAAAAACACACAGCTGCAGTATCCATGCATGGCTGAAAACTTGTTTAGAAAATACTGACAATACGACAACATTCCTTATTGTTAAAGTGAACCAAGCGTAGCAGCTCTACCTTGTTATGTCACAACCACATAAGCACGGCTGTTCTAAAGTGTGTAGTGCATGTTTTTTTACATAATTCTAGCTTTTTGCTTAATTTTCCTATACGTTAATTCACTGAGGTTGCCAACTTAGCTTGAAAACGCCTCACAGCCGTCTCCTCATACAGTCCACGTGGTTCCTATTTATGTGTTTATGCATCTAAAATGCTTTCACACACTGAAAACATCTAAACAAATGTTGAATCTTGTCTCTTGACAGTGTCTTTTTGTTGTTATATTTGTCTTTCCTGCATAGAAGGAGCCTCGCGGGCATTTCAGCCCCACTGGTCCCTTCACAATAAAAGTCTTTAGAATCACCAATTAACCTCAACATGTTTCTGGACGGGGCTGCAGGGTAGTGCAGTTGGTAGCACTGTTGCCTCGCAGCAAGAAGGTTGCCGGTTCGCGTCCTGGTGGGGGCACCGGAATCTTTCTGCATGTTTGCATGTTCTCCCCGTGCAGCGTGGGTTCTCTCTGGGTTCTCCGGCTTCCTCCCACACAGTCCAAAAACATGCTGAGATTAATTGGTGATTGTAAATTGTCCGTAGGTGTGAATGTGAGTGTGCTTGGTTGTCTGTCTCTAAGTGTAGCCCTGTGATAGACTGGTGACCTGTCCAGGTGAACCTGCCTTCACCCTGAGTCAGCTGGAATAGACTCCAGCCCCCCATGACCCTAGTGAGGATTAAGCGGTGTATAGATAATGGATGGATGTTTCTGGACTGTGTGGGAGGAAGCCGGAGAACCCAGAGAGAACCCACGCTGCACGGGGAGAGGCGCACAAATATCAAGGAGAATTCAGGTTATTATGGAGTGATTTCAAGTCTATCATTCTGAAAAACTGAAATTCTTTATGTTTTGAATTGATGGTTAGATTTAAAGCTCTTGGTGACGTCTAAAGTTTACTTTTTTTTGGTCACATAAAATCCCAAAATATTCAGTTTTCTCCAACACACCAATACTTGTGTCGCAGCTTTAAATGAGTGAAGGATATCCAGCCTTTCTGCAGATTAAAAACATGATTATAATCCACCTTAGAGGCCAGAGAGGCAGAGGCCAACCCAGTGCATCACTACTGTCCCGCTTTAGATTCAGAGGATCAGATAAGTTCAGGCTCCTCTAGGTTCAACCAACAATTGAATATTTTTGCGGCACATTTCAGTCCTAATGACTGGCAGGGAGCTGGCAGGCAGTTTGTTCACACTGCTGGGAGGTAAATGGCAACACAGTGCTGCCACACTATTGATTGTTTTGGTCTATGAGTGGAGAACAACTAGAGGCAGCAGGGATCACTTGTTTTAGTCCGTTTTTAACCAGCAGCCGAGGCGGGAGTCTCTCTCAGTGTGAGGATTTCACCTCCCAGAGGAGAATAAAGGAGATCAAAATGTACTCGTAGGACTGAAGAACATCATCGGCGGCGGCATTACTGCGAAAAGGCCTTTAATGATGCGTTTCATATCGAAGACGGGAGGTGAGTCAACTGGTTTTTAACACATTTCTGAGCTTTCTGCATGTGTTCCAACAGCCTTTCTATCTTTTGTTGAAATGGAAACAGCTTTGCAGTCATTGATTTCTGTTTGACATGATCGGTGTTAAAATGTGTGAAGGTGTTTTATTACAATGCTGCTAAATGTTGGCAACACATTAAAATAACCAACACAGCAGTTTAACACCATCAGACTGAGTGTTTTAATAAGACTCTGGTGTGTTCAGGTTGTATAACTAAAGACGTATCTGCGTCTTTAGAAAAGTTGCCTGCTTTCAAAATCTTACCTCAGAAGTACAGAAATATTACAAACGTGTACTTGTATCGAGAGTAGAAGTGTTGTTCTGTAGTTTGATTTTTAGCTGAGTGTGTTTTAGAAAACCAGCTTTACTGTGCAAATTCTAAATATGGACATTACTGGTACCATCTGTACTTTGCTTCCAGGCAAGGCTTTGTCTCATCATCTGTTTTCTTTGTATATCTTTTGTATTTATGTGAATAAATAAGAAGCTACAAGACATAAATGCCAAATTTAGAGATGGTTGCTCCTCCAGAGAGCACTGAAGAGTTTATTTTGTCTCCATAATATCCCACTCAGTATGTATCTTGCTCACAGTTCTTAAAAAACAACTATGCTAGTCTGGTTATAAATTAAAAATTCATCATTTTGTGTCTTGAAACGTCAGCACCAGTTGATGCACGTGGATAAAGCGGCTTATTTTCATTTTCTGATCAACAGCAGACAGACTTGAATGTTCAAATCTTCAACTGACTTTTAACTGACTTGTCTGACTTTATATTTCCTAAAACAAGTACGTATATTCCTTAAAAACAAAGCTATGGATCTGTTAAAAGATTGTCTATGTTTTAAAATTTGATGCACCATGATCAGATTTTTAAAAAACTACCAAAAATCCAGCATCAGTCGAGCTGTTTTCTGATTTCTTCGCTCGTTGCAGCACTGCGGATGTGAGAAATGGGAGACTGGAACTTCCTCGGAGGGATCTTGGAGGAGGTGCACATCCACTCCACCATGGTGGGAAAGATCTGGCTCACCATCCTGTTCATCTTCCGGATGCTGGTTCTGGGCGTCGCCGCCGAGGACGTGTGGAACGACGAGCAGTCGGACTTCATCTGCAACACGGAGCAGCCCGGCTGCCGCAACGTCTGCTACGACCAGGCTTTCCCCATCTCCCTGATCCGCTACTGGGTGCTGCAGGTCATCTTCGTGTCCTCACCCTCCCTGGTCTACATGGGCCACGCCATCTACCAGCTGCGAGCCCTGGAGAAGGAACGCCACTGCAAGAAGGTGGCTCTCCGCCGGGAGCTGGAGGCGGTGGACGCTGAGCTGGTGGAGATGAAGAGGAGGATTGAGAAGGAGATGAGGCAGCTGGAGCAGGGGAAGCTCAACAAGGCGCCGCTAAGAGGCTCGCTGCTGTGCACCTACGTGGCCCACATCGTCACCCGCTCGGTGGTGGAGGTCACCTTCATGATGGGCCAGTACATCCTGTACGGACACCGGCTGAACACTCTGTACAAGTGCGACCGGGAGCCGTGTCCTAACGTGGTGGACTGCTTCGTGTCCAGGCCCACAGAGAAAACTGTGTTCATGATGTTCATGCAAGCCATCGCCTGCATCTCCCTGTTTCTCAGCCTGCTGGAGATCATGCACCTCGGTTACAAGAAGGTCAAGAAGGGCATCCTGGACTTTTACCCACATCTGAAGGATGACCTGGATGATTACTATGGCAACAAGTCAAAAAAGAACTCGGTTGTGCACCAGGTTTGCGTGGGAACTTCTGCAGGACGCAAGTCAACCATCCCCACAGCTCCGAGCGGGTACACGTTACTACTGGAGAAGCAGGGCAACGGGCCCAACTACCCCCTGCTCAGCGCCTCCTCCGCCTTTGTCCCCATTCAGGGCGACACTGGTGTGAGGCTGGACATCCATAAGGACGGTAAGGAGGGAGTGCCAAGCCCCACGGAGCACAACAGCAACTCCAACAACACCAGCAGCGACACACGTTCGCCTCCAGCAGACAAACAGGACGAACCGGAGGAGACACCTTCGCCCCGACACGAGGACGAGGAGTATCCCACCCTGCCTGCAGCCGACACCTCCTCTTGCTCCGCTCTGTCGGGCGTCGCCAGGAAGTCGAGGAGGATCAGCCCACAGTGGAACTGCTCCACAGTGATGGAGAGCAACGGCTCAGACAGCGGAGACTCGTACCACGGCAGCAGCAGCATGAAGCTCCGCAGCAGCTGCGTCGGGCCCAGAGCGAGGATTCACTCCAAGTCAGACATTAAGAGGTCGAGCAGGTCGCAGAGCCCGGACTCTGTAGGAGAACTGAGCTCCGTGTCCAGACACAGCAGAGAGAGCAACAGCCGGGACAGTAACAGTCCTACTGCCTCCTCTCCGAACCGCAGAGTGTCAGGAACAAGTAGCAGCAGCGGCAGAAGAGCTCCGACTGATTTACAGATCTGAAGCTCAGACTCTCTGTCGGCCATGTTGGGTGCAAGTCCTGTAAACACTGGGTTGCTGCACCTTTAAAGCTCTATATGACAGGCACAAAGGGCCTTCGGGAGCAGCTGCTGTCATTTTGAAAGAGCACATGCAGTAAAAAGCATTTCCAGCCACAGTACAGTTTGTTTACTCACATTTCCAGGTCACGTACAGGAACCCAGAGTGAACTTTAATGATCTGACAAAATGCAACAACTCCACCCGAATGATTAGAGAGGAATGGAAAACTCAGCCTCGAATCCATAATGTTGTTAAGCTCAATGCGCTGTTATGTAACCAGATCATTTTAAATCAGTAACTCTGTCTGCATTAATTTGTTCCGACATTAAACATAAAAAACACTCAGTTCTATCTGACTTTAATTTCTCCTCATTCAGACACAGGAGCAGCAACGTCTGAATTTGTGTTTTTGTATGAAAGATATTTTTTTACTTGATGTTCAGTCAGTCAGTTGATATCAGTTTGGTTTGTCCCTTTAAACCTTAATATTTATGGCTGATGAGCGGCCACGTTTGTAAGCAGGATGTAGTTATTTTTATGATTTTAAGGCATAAAGAGAACAAGAGATGCTGCGAAAACATTTTTATTTATGAGAAAACTAAAGTTTCTTCTCAATATACATAACAAAAACTAACAGTGATTTTGTGTTCACTGTACACTCAATATCGTGTAATAAACATTTACAAACTCTACAAAAAAATTCTCACATTAAATGTTTTTCTGATTTACTTTTTTTTTTTTTGTACCCCAAAAGGCAACAACAAAACCTCTTTACTCCGCTGCTCCTTCATCTGGTGACGGTTCGTACTGCATCAGCTGAAACAGGAGATTAAACACCAGGTTAGAAGCTGCAGTAACAGGGGGAATTCTGTATTTTTGTGAATTTAAACAGCAGCGTCTCACCCTGTTCTTCAGCTCTTTGTTCTCCTCCATGAGCAGGTTGAACTTCTGCTGTAGATCAGCCAGCTCCAGTCGAAGAGCCTCAGCGTCCACCGGCTCCGAACCAGACGCCCCGAGGTGAAGCTTTATGAAGCTGTGCTCGAGGTTAAGGTCAACGTGTGCTTTCAGTTCAGCCTAGAGTAATGTCTAATTTTGGGACAGCGACACAGGATCGAGCTTTGTAATGAAACTATCAAAAAACAGTCATTGCGGAGCTTCTCATTCTGAGCACACAGACGATTTAGTTTGTGATTCACTGACACTTCTGCAAGAAAACAAAAGCTGTGGCTCAAGAAAATGTCCAGTGAATTAGACACTTCCTGGCCAATACACATGCAATGAAAATCAAGTTTTCTACTTTGTTAACATGTCTTTTATGCTGTTTTTTGTATGCTAAAAGACACATGGCTGAGTACTTGACCTTGAAACTGCAGTGTACTGATGACAGTCTTAAAAACACACAAACTTCTGGTGTTTTTCACATCACAAACCTAAAGAACCAATCCTGTTGACCTGTTAGATTAAACTTTCTGTATCATTGTTCTTCTCAACAAGCTTTGAACATGAATGTTTAAATTACTCCAATATTACAACTTGAGTTGTAACTATATTCAAGCAAAGGCAAATGTGCAAAGCTACTTCTAAGCAATTTTATGTCCAGAATGGAATATTTTCATTAAAAAAAAATAGAAATATGTGACTTTGATATGCAGAGATGCGTTTTTTTGACATTAAATCTGCAACCAGAGAGGGTTGCTTCTTAAATTACAGATTTCAAAATATATTTTGCAGCTAAATAGGTATTTTTGTCCCCAGCCAAACAGGTTAACCCGGGGGTGTCGACATCCGGTCCTCGAGGGCCGCAATCCTGCATGTTTTAGATGTGTCCTTCTTCCAACACACCTGATTTACATGATCAGGATCGTTATCAGACTTCTGCAGAGCTTGATGATGAGCTGATCATTTGAATCAGGTGTGTTGGAAGAGGGAAACATCTAAAACATGCAGGATTGCGGCCCTCGAGGACCACAGTTCGACACCCCTGGGTTAAACATACTAGAAAAACTTACTATACTTCATATTCATAGTCTTACAAATGTCGCAGTGATTTTCATCTGCAGGACACCAGGAACAGGACTGTCTCCGTAGCGATGGAGAGATTTGGTACGCATGCTGTAAACACTTTCAGGATGTTTTGACTTTTGTTAATCCACAGCCATTGTTGCAATTTGTCTTTTAACTGCATCTAATGTGAAAAAAATTGAAAACATCTTCAAAACTGCCATAGATTCTAAGGTTAAAATACTTGTAGAAAAGCCTGAGTCTTACCCATATCTGTTTGCATGGACCAGAACTCTCACCTGCACAGGTTCCTCAGGGGTCTAACTCAAAGCTCATACATGACATTTGGTTGTCCTTACAGTGACTAAAACGTTAGACATTACTTGGCCAAAGCATTGCAAGTTAACCAAATATTAAAGCTGTTTTATTGCACAAACAGCATCTCCTTTGTTTTGATGATGTGGGAACCTTTTTTTTTTTTTTAACCACTTTAATGTCTGCACAGCTGTATGCGTAAGAAAAGGATACTCCAGTGCATTGCTAGGTTTGTCAGTCTCCTCATAAAGTGCCACTAAAACTGCAAAAGAGGAACAAAAAGTTGATGAAACAATACTGCAGGGCTATCAATAAAAACTAAACACATGTGGGAGGTTAACAACATGTATTGGTGTCACACTAACAGCTCAAACGTAGTATATTAATTTCCAGTCCACTCACCGCTGGTTATAGTGTCGAGCACTCCAGACTTCTCAAGATATCTTCTAAACTGCTCTCGCTTCGATTCTGAGGCCTGAAACATAAGTAGTTGAGTTTGTAGCACATGTCTGACAGGTTTCACCAGCTGGCAAAATATTTACAATACTTAGTGTCTTAATTCTTGTTTGTATGTGGACAAAACACCTCCGCAGACAGTAAAATACAGAAGCCTGAGCCTGTGGTGCGTTCACTGCCTGCTGCTGTACCATACAAACAAGCCGGGGCTCCATGGCTATGATGCTAGCTAGTTAGCACACGCTTCGTAACGCTTCGTAAACTGAACTGTAACACGGAAAACTCAACAAACAGTTATATAAAGCACCTCCAAAAATACTTACTCTATAATGGGCCATGACTGCGACTATAGCAGTGTTATTTTCGCTTGCTGAAACTGTGTGACACGTTAATTAACTCGGACTAATGGCAGCTGGTTGTCTTTCCTCCAATCCACACAACTGAAGGCGAGTCCGTTGCCATAACAACACATGGACGCGGTCATGGGTATGCGGAAATGATTTTTTTTTAACTCAAAAAATGGTAAATAAACAGTTTTAAATAAGAAAACCACGAAACATATTGGAAAAGAAATATGGTGGGTTGTTTAATTTTTAATGATGTTTTTAGGTTTTTAAGAGAAGCGTTGCACTTGAAGGTAGCGAAACGGCGGACTCCCCGTTGCCAGATTTGGACGACAAAAATCAGAGCCTAGAATTTACTTTTTTTGTTCACAATATATAAATATAAGTAAGCCGAATTTGCTATTAGCAGATGCTCTTTGATTTATATTGCTGAAATTGTGATTTACTCGCCATTGTTTACTTTAAAACTGTGGAAAACTTAAAAATGTGATGATTCTCTGAGCGAGTCTGGAGTCATGAAGGGCCGACATTTACGGATTTTTAAATGCGTTTGTTTGTCATACATAAGAAATATAAGGCCATTTTTTAAAAATGTAGTATTGTACTGAATATAAAAATGTGCACTTCATGTCTTTGTGTTAATATTTGATGGAGTTATTTGTGTTTTAAAGCAGTACTGTTGAATTGACGGCAAATCTGGCAACACGGAAGGACCGGCCAGAATTTGGTCGCGTTCTTTGACGTCACATCCGTAGAACATATTTATAAAACATGAGAGCTCAACTCATTGGATGGCATGAAACGAGGCGTAGCCAACCCAGTCTGTTGTTTAGATCTACGCTTCCTCAAACCGCCTTGAAACAGATCTGCTCATATGACTGTTTGTTACTGAGGTGAAGAAAAACAGCTGCACTGCTCGTTTGTTTTTGTCGCCGGCTGGGATGTGACACAACATCTCCGGTTTTGAGTTTCTACTCCCCCAACGACGAATGTTAATTAAGTGTTTCTGATTTTTAAATCCTTCACAAGGTAAGCTGTATTTACCAAATACTCACACAAGTTATTGCTTTAAGTTTGTAGTAGCTAGTGCTGGTAAGTTTCCCAACATACTGTCTTGTGCTGACCTTTTTGTTGTTGTTGTTGTTGTTGTTGTTGTTGTTGTTGTTGTTGTATGTGTGTATTTGAACACGTCTAATACTTGAGACTAAACACACATTATTAAAACAATAATTAACAGAGAAGTGAGTGTTTTGCTAATTTAGCCTAGTTTAAATATTGTTAGTCTTATTGACAGCTTCGGTTACAGACATTTAACAGTAATAATAAAAACTAAAATTATGTAGCACCTCCCTTAAACAAAACAGGCATTAAAAATATTAATTTCTTTTTATTCTATGCAAATAATAGTTGCTTTTCTTTATTGAGACATACAAAGTGCTGTGGTGTCTTTTAATGGAGAAAGGGTTAGTGGATGAAATGTTTAATTAATTAAGTACCAATTATCCTCCAGTGACATCTGCTGGAGCAGGGGTGTCGTCCTCGAGGGCCGCAATCCTGCATGTTTTAGATGTTTCCCTTCTTCCAACACACCTGATTCAAATGATCAGCTCATCATCAAGCTCTGCAGAAGCCTGATAACTATCCTGATTATTTGAATCAGGTGTGTTGGAAGAGAGAAACATCTACAACATGCAGGATTGCGGCCCTCGAGGACCAGAGTTCGACACCCCTGTGCTGGAGGTTGAAGAGTTGCTCATTATAATTGTAATCCTGTAGTTTTTGTGTTCTTATTTTGACAAAATTACAGATTTTATACCATTACTTTAGGTTCTGGTGAAATGTGGTGGGCACTGTGCATTATCTTATACATTTAAAATGGAGCAAAGAACAAAAAAAACAAAAAACAAGTTGTCAGTTAATATATTTGTTTTAGAGGTTTCAGTGCTTATTCTACTGCGTCAGATAATACAACTTACAGTCATTGCTTTTTTTAACAAAGAGCATCCTTTTTCTATTGAGGAAGGATTTGTTCCTCCACTTTCTTCCGCAGCCCAAAGCTCACAACTGACCTTTTCAACCTCGAACTAGGACGCAGAAATGGGCATTTTAATAATACGCTAATTGTTCCAGAGCAGTGAAATGGGCTGTGATGATCTCATGACACACTCACACACAGATGCAGGCATTCGTCACATGCTGATGGCACATAGTGTTGTCATTTATATAAACCTGTTGAACAGACTGTCAGGGCGCCACGTAGCTCAGCATGTGTGACACATCCCATCAATATCTGTCAATAACTGATAATAAATGTAAGAAATTGCATGGTATGCCACATGACAGATCAATTTTGCACATCTCTATTGTAAATATGTTTATTTATGTTTGTTTTTTGCTGGACAAAAAAACTCTCACAAGCAATTTTCACGTTTTTCTGCCATTTTTTTTGTCAAAAAACCAGAAGGATACGAATCCATAATGAAAATAGTTGTTAGTTGCAGTGCTGACAAGCAAAATGGAGAGTTTCAAATTTCTTCACATAGTGAGAAAAAGTTTATGTGAGACATTACATAAAAAGACTTACGAGGAAATGAAGATACAGGCCAAATAAAGTTATAAAATCCAAAACCCAACCCGTGTAAAGATCGCACAAAATTAAGTAACGCCAGGTGAGAGCACAATATAATAAAAGCACTACACAAGCCACAATAAAAGAAAAATCATAATGCTTGTAAGCAGTACTGTTGACAGAACACTGACTAAGGAAAGTACAGACAACCTGGTTTGTGCGTTCACTAGTTAGTCATCGGTTCAGTCATTTAGAGCTAAAGGTGTTTTATCACAAAGCCAGTTCTTCCAGTTTGCCTTTTTCTCATGCACTGGGACACTTACGGTAAATTGCAGCCAAACAAACGAGGAAACAGCGTCTCATAATGCTGAAGTTTCTTTGTTTTTATAGCAATATTTAGTCCAATAAATATTAACTGATGTCAGCTTAATGATTTGCTTTTATTGTGTCATAAATTGTATGTCTTTAACTTTAGGACTGAAAAAATGTGCAGTTTGAAGATGCTACCTTGGACTTAAAGACATGATGATAATGAAATTTCACTTTTTTCCCCAAAGTGACGAAATTAAATCAAGTTAAATGTATTTATATTGTACTTTTTAAAAACAACCTGAAGTGACCAAAGTGCTGTACATCTTGCAAGACAATCATCAGCAAACATATGTGCAAAAAAAAAAACAAGCAGGATGGAAAAGAACGACTTTGAAAATCAAATCGAGGATGAAAACTCCAAAAATCTAATTCTAAAATGAAGTAAATATATAATACTGAAACATTAAGACCGCTAAGAGCAACCAAACACCATTTATCATGTGTGCAACTTGAGATTAGTCAAGAAAATAATCTGCAGATTCATTGCTCGTGAAAATAATCACCGTTGGCAAACTATTTGCACACATTTAAACTTAAAATCCAGCCACTCTGCTGTTTTTAAAGTCGTAAATAGGACTTCTTCTACCCAACAGGTCAGATGGTAAACATGTGAAGTCATTCACCGTCACTATAGTTACTCATTGATGTGAAACTGCCCCAGTGAAAACACTTTACATCACAGCTCAAATTATCGACCGTCTACAGTTTAAAATGCACAAAATCATCAGTCTACAAACAGGAAATTATGAAGGTTTTTTTTCCCCCACCAAAGCAGAACAGCAGCGAAAATGAGAAGTGAAACCGAGACCAGTGACTCAGATTTTATATCCCTGGTATTAAACCTGAACGAGGTCTGATTTCCAGATTCTGTGAAGGAAGTAAACCTTATATTTGTACGTCAGAAAGTCAAAGGGAGAACTGCTGGAAAATGTCTGAAAAGGGGATTTCTGTGTTGTCAAGTACATCCACAGGAGTCAAAGCCCCTCGTATCTCTCTGGATATTGAATATTTGATCAAAACATCAATGTTGAGCTTTTTAAACTTGTTTTTGAAGGCGTTTTGGTGATACGAGCACAGCCGTAGGTCAAGACACTTATGAGATATGAAGTCCAATAAGTCTTAGACAACATCTGCCGGTGGTTGGAGGGATCGATCACAGCCTTGGTGGTCGCTGAGCGTCTACTGTAAACAAAGTGTGAAAAGGATCAGTGTTCCCCTGCACAGACACCAGGGGAGATGAGCTTTAGCTGCCCTTTATCTTTCTCATTGATTGTATGGATATTATCTTAGTATCCACATCAGTTGTTTTTACCTTGACATGTTTCGACTGTCACTTCAGTCTTCCTCAGAAACGTCACTGACATCTTTGGTGAAGTGTCTTTATCAGCTGGTGGTTTCCTGGAGGCGTGACCTGCTGGCAATCTGTCTGAGTTGCCCGACAGGCCACGCCTCCTGCCGCCCGGTGGTCTCTGCAGGACAGCATGAATGCCCTCCGATCACAGTTCATGATGTCTTTGGCTCGCCTCCTTGATCCAATGTTTAAATTCAAAAATACTCACTCATTGTCTGGCAAAAAGAAACCTTATACCTATAATCAGAGTCAGCAAAATGAACCTAATCACGCTAATTATCCTTTAATTCAGGGTACCTGAGTACTACCACTACAGATTATTTTTACTTTCATTAAACTTTTTGAAAAGTAGTAAAAAAGAAAAACTTCCAAGGGGCTTCAAGACTTTTTATAGATACTGTAGGTGCATTTCCAGCTAGAAACGTTTGGAGGAACTAAGTGCATTTTACCAGTCTAAATTAGGTTCCAGTAAAATCCTTTTAGTCTCCAAAAACTCCTTGCTAGAGCGGTAGTCCTGTCTGAAAGGTCAGGAGCTCTGGAGTGGAGATTGCAGCACTCTGATAAATGATTCTCTTCTTTTTGTTCATTCATATTTGTGCACTTGATGTGTGCCAAGATGAAGACGTCTCAGCTCCTGACGAGTTGACAAGGTTCACCCAGCTGCTGGGTTTATATGTGATGCCCTCTAAACCTCATCATCAGCATCAGCTTTGGTGAAACATGTTGTGAAACCAGGAAGCATCAGTGCGATAGTCAGCATGTTATCAACCTGCTGTCTGTCAGGGTTTCAATAATAATCCAGACCTGCTGATGCGTCACATGACTTCGTATCTTCACTCACATCCTCTTTGTCGTTGTTTGTGTCTTTTTTTTCATGTCTGATAACAGATTTGCTCGACACCATGACTCACTGACATCCTTTTATAAACACTGAGTATCTTACGGGTCAGCCGGCCGCCATGCCGTCACCAAGTCGCTACTCCATCAACGAAGCGTCTTCGGACGGGAGCGAGGACAGCGAGCCGCTCATCCAGAACAATGCAGGTGAGTTTTGTTGCTGTCTGTGGGACAAAACTCTCACAAATTTGATGCAAACTTGAAGACAAAATGTTAATTCTTCTTGGAAAATAAGGTAGAAATGCAGTCTATTGATTATTTTTCATTTCTTGTTGGGTTTGGTGCTTTATTCTGCACAACATTATGAGAGATAGTTTCAAATGTGCCAGCACAAATTAAAGACTTTCCATTGTGCAGTTTGCAGAGCTGACACAGCGCTGTCCTTATTCAGTTTCCCACACATCAGCGCTTCTTGTGGTCAAAGATCACCTGTTGTGTAACACGTCTGACCAGCAGGTGGCCGCAGGTGAACTGAAAACACATGCTGCTGAAACAGAAACGAGTAAAAAATGATGTCTGACCTACGGTTTAACATAGAGGTTAGTTATGAGCCAGAATTTAAGGAATGTTCTGCAACGTTCTGCAAGCAAACGTTTAAGAAATGGTCAAGATGTGGACCCGCTTTAGTTATTCCGTGTATTTCGAGCTCTTTAGTTATGTTGGCAAACACACAACGTTGAGATGCTCAATTAAGTGTTTACATGAATAAAATGTGTAAATACAGAAGGGCTTTCTGAGGTATTCCTGGAAAAAAACATCTAATTTATTGGGTCAAAAGTTATTAAATGTAAAATGTTATATGACGTTAAATAAGTATCCCTCATAGAAACACCTGAACATTTGTACGATGCAGGCACATTTGTATTTTTCTGACTTTTTCTGCAACAAGTTGTAATTAAAAAAACAAGAACGTGAACACGCTTGATGCCAGAGCTATGAAAGTCTTCACATAACTTCTACGGCTTGTCCTGTGTACAATCCCAGTGGAGAGTTGTGGAGAACTTAGCCGATCTAACCTTATATATACGGGTCAGTCCACCTCAATTCACCACATGGCTCCCGCATGACCATCTCGGATTGGGTTAAAAAAAATTCAAGGATGGAGGATTATCATCAAGACGGTGTAAGCCCAAGTTTTAGGGTCATAACTGTCGTTTTTGCTACAAAAAATAATGAAAAATACATTCTTTTTGTAGTTTTTGCCAAATTTGTGACGAGAGCCTAACTTTGGATGACAATATGACAAGAAGTATTTCAGGTATAGACTTCAAATTTGAGAACACATTTCCCCTATATTAGAGGTGTTTAAATCCCACATTACAGCGTCCTCAGTACATAGCATATACTGAGATTCTATGGCCTGTTCAATGCAGGTTGTTTTCAAGTGACAGTAGAGATCCAAACAGATCTTGTGGTGCAGGCCGACCGTTGAGTCTGGAGGATTTTTGATTTTTTTTAACCATGACAGGGTAGGAACATTCTCTTTCAAACAACTTCAATCATGTGTTCGTATGACCCATCATTCATTGGCAAATGGTGCATAAAGTTAAGTAAAATAGTAATATTTACCATTTTTGAGGGTCAATATCTCAGAGGCTGTACGTGTCATCTTCATGAAATTGGGTGTATTGAAACATCTCATATTGGATTATATAACAAAAAGACTTCTATCATAAATCCTGTCTGTTTTATGGGTGCACAAAGGTGGTCACGGGTGTGACATTTATGACTCTAAAACTTGGGATTATGCCATCTTGATGATGATCCTCAATTTTTTTTCAACCGAATCAGAGACGGTCATGCAGGAAGATTTTCTGAAATCTGGGGAACTGATGTGCAACGATCCATATCTATGTAAACTAGTTTTAACAGGTGGCTGCTAAGAGCTTAAATATTAAAAGGCAGCCAAAGACAATCCTTTATTTTATCATTAACACACAGAGTAGAAAGAGAAGTGAGTTTAGACGTTATATTTGTTAGTCAGAGTTGTCTTTGTCCTGTGAAACCCTCCATCGTAACAAGTTTTCATGTTCATTAGGAAACAGCTTCTATCGGTATATTTATTTAGTAATCCAGCTTGTCTTTAGAATAAACTTTGTGTATAATAAATGAAGACGAAGTGCATAACTAGGGAGTCGTTGAGTTGCTCGTGAGTTCAGCTTTGGGGTAGAAGATGTTTGCCTGTGATGCAGTTGAAGCATCTTCCTGAAGGTAAAGAGTTTTTAAATAGTTTATTGATCAGAGTCGGGGGATTTTCCCAGCTCATACTAATGTAAATGTCTTATTTTACGCGGACAGTTCCTCGTCAGTGCTGCTCGGCCCGACTCAACCTCGCCATCCTCATGTTCTTCGGCTTCAGCGTCGTCTACGGTCTCCGGGTCAACCTCAGCGTCGCCATGGTAGCGATGGTCAACACGACGGACCCCCAGCCGACTGACAACACCTCAGTCGTCCACGCTTGTCCCCTGCCGTCGGGAGAAGACAACGCCAGCCAGAATTTCCAGCATCCTGATGGGGTGAAAGTGTATTTAGTCTTTAACATGAGACGATTTGGGATGTCGTCCAGCTCCTTAAACCTCCTTCTTTGGATCCTCAGACCCCTCAGTATCCCTGGGACTCGGAGACTCAGGGCTGGCTGCTGGGGGCCTTCTTCTTCGGATACCTGTGCACCCAGATCCTGGGCGGATACCTGGCCGGTCACTATGGGGGGAAAATCTTCCTGGGTCTGGGGGTGCTGGGCACGGCGGCCCTCACCCTCCTCACCCCTCTGGCTGCACAGTGGGGGTCCTACTGGCTGTTTGGACTGCGAGCATTGGAGGGTTTTGGAGAGGTAGGAGCACACAAACTGCAGTCTTGTTTATTTACCGTTTTTCCTCATAGATGTTGTAGACATTATGTCTTAGTGAAGCTTTACTGGCAGAATGACCACAGATATACAAAATCAGCATGTAAAATCTGCACATTTTTATCACTTCTTTGTGTTTTTTAGTCATTTATTAGGTAAATTAGTTCTGCTTTGAATCATACACAGCATTTCCTATCACAAAATTGTTGAGGTTTATCACTTCATAACGCTTTTTGGTGTCAGTATGTGAACTTTAGCCACGTTTTCACTGCAGGAACGTTCCCCAGGAATTATGAAACCTTTCAAGGAACTGTCCAAACGTCTAAATTAGCCTAAAAACAATTGTTGTTAAGCGCGTTGTATAGTCTGAAAGGTCGGGAACTTTGAGGCTGAGGGTTGCAGCACCAAACATTTCTGATTGTCTTGCAGCATTTAATTTCGGCCAGACCTTCTTATGCAACCAATAAGTCGTGTTTCTGTCATGTATTTTTCTGCACCTTTTGAAGTGTTGCATTGGAAACAGATTACGGCTACTTGCGGAAAGACAGGTAATGCACGTACTGGGAGATGAAAGCAGCTTTTCTGAATAACGTAGCGAACATTTAACTCACATGATGTATCAGTGGCTTCTTTCGTTGTCTTTGCCTCCAGACGGCGTAAAACATGTCCGATGAAAGCTGACATGAAAGTTTCGGTACAACTTCCTTCTCTTTAGTTGTCTCTGCATTAACTGTGTTACAGTTAATTTATCCACCATCTGATGACACTACACAGCCTAGTTTGTTCCTTCCAAAACAGTTAATGGAAACAAACCTAACTGACAAGTTTTCTGCACATTTACTGAACCGTTATATGAAAACACGGCGACAGTCAGTCGCCACAAGAACTCGTAAAATCTAACCACTTTACACTTAGCATTGCAGATGCTTAGAATCTACTGCTAGCCCTCGTCTCTCTCCGGTGTTGACTACAGCTCTCACCTGTTCCTCACTTTGTATTGCGTCATCTTCAGGCGGCTTTCCACTGCAGGAACTTGGAACAGGTGTGACGCGGTGCGAACAGTGACAATAATCCGCCTTTTCAGCCGTTCTGTTTACATTGTAGTGAAGGATGTAACCGATTCAACTTCAAAGTCAACATACGAGGGCATCACAACAACGACCAACACTAGTGATTGGACAAATCTGCAGCTCTGAGAGGACGTAGGGAACAGAACAATGGAGTCTGTTGTGTTTGTCTAGATGGTGAAGCTTACATGAGGCTGCTACTTGACAGAGACATCAGGAGGATAGAAAAAAGTTTAGCTAATCAGCATTGAGCCCTGGAGTATTTTCTCCCCCAAAAATGTCCCTGAAGAAGGTTCTAGGAGGGCGACTCTTGTCGTCAGAACATGTTGAGAGGGTTCTGGTCGCCTGAAAACTGCCCTCAAGTTCCTGCAGTAGGAAGCAGCTTATCGCACGGCCTACAGATGGAGAGCAGCAGTTTGTTGTACATATGTAAAGTCCCATTTTGCTTTTCTTTTTCTTAAATCAGCGGACCAACAAGCCTAAAGTCACAGATCTTCAGACCACGGCGGAAACACAGACAACCAGTATTCTGAACTTTCTATGTTTCAGCAACAGCCTCCCAGAAAGGAACTCATTTTAAAAATTCAAAAACCTAAAACATTGTTCTTATGGTGTTCCCTCTGACCGTCTCCGTGTTTCTTCAGGGCGTGACGTTCCCGGCCATGATGTCGATGTGGGCTCGCTGGGCTCCTCCTCTGGAGCGTTCCCGCCTCATGACCCTGTCGGGCTCCGGGGCCAACTTCGGGGCCTTCGTGGCGCTGCCGCTCACCGGCTACATCTGCCAGACGCTGGGTTGGCCGGCTGTCTTCTACCTCTGCGGTGAGCGAAGGAAACACACCCTAACTCAACCCTCTGAACCCCAAAACCAAATCCATACCATGTTTAATAAACCAACCAAAATTGCACCATTTATCAGATCAGAATAGTCGGATTTTCAACTTTGAGACGGTCCTTGAACTTCTCATCTCTTGGAATTGTGATGTTTAATCGAAACCACTTTATTGTACGAGCATCATTTAAATATTCACCAAAAATAAACCAAATTCTGTATAAAACAAAATATTTTTTTCTTCCTGGTGCAACTATGAAGCCTTTAGTGACTCGACTGTGCCCGACAGTCATTTGATCAAAATTCTATGACTTTTCAGCTGAACTGCAGGCAAGTGAGACAAATATGCCAACAAATGAAACTTAGAAAACTATCTATAGTAATAAAGTTCTTTTTTTTCATTATTACTAAGACCTATTGGCACTTGAAGAAATGTTGTCCATGTTGATTCCAGGTTTATATATTTATATATATATATTTGCAGAATAAATAAAGATATTCAACTTTCCTTTTTTTTTTTTAATGAATTATAGCATTTTAACTTTGTTGTTCTGCACATTTCTGAGTTCTTTCTCCTTTTTTATGATTGTTCTGTTTCCATAGTGGTGCAGGACTTTATTTTGCAGTGAAAAATGAGCCCACAGTGACGAAAATAATGCAGAAAAAAAACAACACAGAAACTGCTGCTGTGGATTCAGAGGGTTAAATAGAAATATAAATCTTGGCCTTTCTTAGTGATTGCTGCCACCGTGCAACAGTGAAGTTACGTTTTGCTCTATTTGACAAACAAAAATAAGTTTATAGTCATTTGTAGATAATTCAGGCGACGCAAAAGCCCTTTAGACACATTTATGTATATATTACAGCATTTTTTTTCTCTTTCGTTTATGACTTTTACTTTGACTGGGTCCTCGGAAACGTCGTCCTGCTCTTTACACGACACATTTACAGTGATTTTATTTTTCTTTCACGACGCTCAACTTTCACCGCTAACCTGTCTTGTAATTGTTCACCGGCTCTTTCAGGGGGCGCTGGATGCCTCTGGTCATTCTTTTGGTTCATGTTTGTGTCGGACGACCCTCGAACTCACCCTCGAATCAGTGAAGAGGAGAGAGATTACATCGTCAACTCCATCGGATCTCAGGTACACGTGAAACATTGACAGGTTTTTTATCCTCTTTGACTCTCATGTTCCTCAATGTGTCGCTTCAAGTTTTCTAAACAGAAGGTTGTCTTGACAAAGTGAGTAGTGGTGAATATGACATCCTGTCTGCCACCTGTGAAATAAACCCTCTGCTTGTTTATAACCTTAAAAACAGTTTTCAGTCTTGTATAGAAACACAACATATTGGAAAATATCAGTATGTTCCCCGTGCTGACATTTACTATGAAATGTTATTTGTGGTTTTTCCGTCTCAAATCATCAGGCTCCTTCTGCTCGACCAACTCTGACTTGCTGAAAACTATTTGATTTATAAACTACAGATATTTAAAATGGTATCTGACATTTATTTATTTATTGAAATTTGTTTTTTTTTTAAATTGGCAGTATGTTTCTCTGAAGATTGAAATTTGACGCTGTTTGAACGACAATATCTCAGGAAGTATTAACTTCTACCTCTTAAGACCACATGCGTGAACATCACATTTTGGGTTAT